CCATTTTTTGGGAATGACAAAACAAACGAGAATAAAACCTTGAACCTCCAAATGTGGGCAAAATGGAAAAGTCTGGCCCCCACCATCCCTGACTCGATTTCTGATTCACCAACACAGAATGCACTAAAAACGACTATGGCAGCAAAACGATTGTGCAATGCAAATGGACTAGAAGTCGGGACTGGCAAAGGGTTAGAAGTTGGGGGCCACTGAGACAGGAACTGATGAGTAGGACAAATGAGAAACCAGTGAGGAAAGAGAATTATGTAATAGGCTATTTCAAGCCTGGACTCCAAAATGTCGAGAAGACCCCCAAAACCTCTTCACTGAAAAATGATGCCATGGGCAAATCACGCAAAAAAGATACAGGTAAACAAACCCTGGATAAAAGAGCATCCCGACCTAAAAGATCCCAGCAGAATATCAGCCATGTCAGTAAAGTCAGGGCCAAAGAGGAGAGGTGTGCCATGGTAGCAAATAGGAGACTACAAGAATCATCAGAAAATCCCTCAGGAGATTGATGAACAGCTTCTGCCAAAAGATGAATGGAGGATAAGGCATGGAAAATAATGGACATCATAAGATAAAGAGGGGGAAATTGAGGTTGGGAAAATGAAACTGAAGTATTAAGGTCTGAACCTCACAAGGGAATGAAAGATTCCAAATATGGGTAGTTGGCACAACGAAAAGCAAAAGCATGATCATTAAATGTACAAGGTGGATGAGTCATACTGACCCACAAACACAACTGTTTCCCAAAATGACTAGCACAAACCCCAATATCTAGTGAAGGAGGAAAACCAGATACTGACCCAAAGATCTGTCCCAAGGAGGACAGGTGTAGAATCACAGAAACAGAAGACAAAGAAAAAATCAAACAAACCTGATTAATCAAGTCAACAAAGGGAGGAGGAGGCCTTGGCAAGTCCACCAATGTAATATGCAATTGAGAAGCATATGCAGAAGGGGGAAAAAGGCTGTTTAAATTCTCACCCTTACTGTCAGTCACAGCAGGTACTGGTATAACAGGATGCTCCTCTGGTTGTGGTGAATGTTGCAAGAAATTAGACAATTCTTGATGGATCATAGTAGTCATGTCATTGGTTGATAACTGTGGGACCGACCCCAAAGATGTGGTCAGTAAATCTGCAGGTGCAGTAACAGCAGTGGTAGTTGTAACTACTTGAAAGTGCAAATGCATACTTACAAAGTACTGAGAAGTGCACTAAATGAAAATATAACGAAAATCATGAGCAAAAACAAACACGTCTTAACAGCAAAACTGCCAATCGAGAAATGATTAACAGGTGCATTATTAGAAGTTCCTAGTCATGATAAGAGCAGTGTTGCACTCCTATTGGTGGAGTGTTGCTGCATGATCACTTGCATGTAGATATGCATAAAGAAGTGGGAGTTACAAGGCTAGTGGCAAACGAAAAATTTGTGTCAATAAATGGCAGAACTAATCAAGGAAGTTTTTGTGAGAAGAGGTAAGATATCGTATCATAATAAATAATTTTTAAGTAAAAGCAAAAATCATAAATGCAAAAAAAACAGGATAATAATAAAAAATAAATTACCAAAGTTTGTTACCATCTACATGTAACAAGCTTTGCATTCTTAAATTACTGAGTAGATAAACAAGTTACAAAAACATATTTTGAACATTTAATAACAACTTAACCTTTTCTCTACACGTCTTTAAACAATAAAATTCACAATGGCATTATTTTTCATATTAATTTTTTATATATTTCAAAAATAATGTATAATGTCTAGAGTTAACAAAAATTTAATCATTTCCATTTATTTATATTCCTAAATAAATTGAACTTCTAGGATATGAAGTATTGTGTTAACAAGGATACAAGTGTGCTAAAAACTTATGTATAATGCATTGTAATTATCTGTAAATTTTTATTCCTAAAGAAATTACTTTTAAAATGCTAAATACGTTGTTTTAATAGACTAAATTCCAACCTTATTTATAACTCTTTGCAATTATAGCATTTGTATTGCCTTAATTTTGGATCACGTCACACATCAAGATTTCATCAAAACTTGCTAATCAACATTTCAATGTACAAGTTTATAAATATATTTAACTAATTTGGAAATTAAGTTACTTTTATTTTGATGCTTTCTACAGATGATTTTGCTTTTCAACAAATTTCCAAATAACCAGGAAAAAGCACTCTAGTTAACTGGTCTGACTTCATTCCTAGCTTGTAAATGAGTGCTAAAATATTATCATCTATTAAATTATTATAAAATAGTATTCATGTAAAAGTTTACTAACGATCTTCTTTAGGCTGAAATAAAAGCAATATTTGTGACATTTTACCAAAATATCTTTCAGAACTTTTATACTCTTATTTCAAAAGTTTGAGTCTATTTAACTAAAATTCTCTTTTGGAAAGAAAGAGTATAAAAGGTGGGAAAATATATCTAAAATTTATACCAAAACGTCTTTAACACCTCTTTCTATTTATATATATATACAAAAAACATCCAGTTTCAAATGGTTATCTTTATGTTTCTCTTTATAGTTAACTATTTTTCATATATATAAAAGAGGAAGTTTGTTTATTTGTTCGCTATAGGAAACTAAACTGTTGAGCTTACAAATCTTAAAATAACTTCATAATAACCAGTTTTTTACAAGAAATTTAATGGTGCTATTTATTTCATATTTGATGTAGTATTTAATGACTAAATTGACAATTAATTATTATTGTACCATTTTTTTGTAATAAACATAAGCACGTTTTGCACATAGAAAGCATTATGGCGGGAGACACTCAGATCACCTTGCTGTCAATTCAGTATTTCCAAAAACAGTTTTCTTTAAATAGTGCTAAGTGGTTTCATAAGTGATTTAGTAACTTTCTGAATTGCAAGTTACTGTTTAGTGATACAGGTGATTATGCCACCCAAGAAACGCCCTTTCTATGGAAAGTCTTCTGCTGCTAAAAGAATGCAAGCACAAAGAGCAGCTGAAACAGAAGAAGAACACTATCAAAGACTTCAAGCACAAGCTGCAAGACAGGCTGCTCAAATACAGGAAGAGACTTTGGAACAATGTAAAGTTAGACTTCGAGCTCAAGCTGAAAGTCAGGCTACTCAAAGACAGCAAGAAACTGTTGAACAGCACAAAGCCAGAGTTCAGTCAGAATCATCAAGGCAAGCTGGATATAGACAAAAAGAAACTTCTGAACAACGTCAAACCAGACTTTAAGCACAAAAATTAAGACAAATAACTTACAGAGAGCAAGAAACAGAGGAGCAACATGATGTATGACTTCAGGCTCAAAGAAGAAGACAAGCTCAAACATGATCTAATTTCAAATAAAGCTTTGTTTGATTAAATACTTTTTTATTTCTCACATTACAGCTTTTGTCTACTTACTGAATAATTGGCTGAAAAAAATATTGATCTATACATTTCAAATCTAAATTTTCATCGTGCAATGCTGAGTAACTCAGCTAGTATACATATAATTGAATAATTTACTCCTCTTGATTCGTTTTTACTCAAAAGATTAAAAGCAGCTTATATGTATAATTTGGAGTAACGAATAACAAAATCAAATATATAGATTGATATATCTTAGAAATTATATGTATTTGTTTGATACCACTTTCACTTTAAGTCTAAAGGCATATTCAGTGATTGGTATCAGTCACTACCTTTATTAAAAAATAATTTAAATTCAAAATAAACAAGACATTCTGTTGAAAGTATCAAGTTTTCCTTTAAATACTAAATCTTATCAGTTTTAATCCCAGATGGTTGTATGTTTGCATTAATGAAATTGGTTAGTTCATTCTGACATTAGGCATGGCTGATTTTCAGTTTTTTAACCCTGCATATTTAGGGTTATGAATGTATGGAATTTAAAAATACCTTTCCTGAGAAGTTAGTTTCATAAACTGTACTAAATATTCATATCATTTAAGGTACTTTCTCTTACACTCCTATACGTATCTACTTAATTTAATTCATAAAAACTTAGCTTTCATTTCTTTACTCTTTATAAAATATTTTTTTTTCCATTTGTGTTGAGCAGATTAGTCTGTAATTGCATAATTTTATATCTTTGTTCTTCACACTGGAATTTCTTGAAAAAATTAATATCTATTTTGTTTCTTTATGCATTAAGAATGAAGACAGAAAAATAAGTCTTGTCTACAGAGACATACTATGTAAATGTATTATGAAAGTGTACAAGATACGTGGTTTGAATGTTTGGTGTTTTGTTCATTGTATTACAAGGTTTGGCATTTAAAACATCTTGCAACATAGTTTGTAAATCAGAGGTAGTCCAACATTATATAGAAATTGAACATCTTTCTGAAGTAGATATCACTTGAATATGTTAAGAAAAGGAAGTCAGGCTATAATTTGTCATATGAAGAGGTTGATTCAGTTGGAAATGTTATTATTCTTGTCAGAGATAATTTTTCTTTCCATTTAGTATTAATAGCTTGGAGTTATTGTGAAATTAGCCAGATAGTTTAATGGTATTGATGTCAGAAAGACAAACAACATAGTGTACTGCTATTTAACTTGATCAGGCACAGAGTAGAATTGCGATTAATTTGCAAGACATAATCTGTTTACAAATCCTACGAGGAAGTGTGACCTGATTTTATTGCTATGTTTAACTAAGGAATTGAGCTGCAGGTGAATTATATTATTCTAATTACTTTAATATATTCTTGTTTTGTTCATCTGTGAAACATCTTTCAATCTTAAGAAAACTAAGCATTTGCTAAATTATTAACTTAGCCTTCAGCTTTACAGAAAAATCTAATTACAAACTTACTATATTTATCACAAAAATGATGTAAATATTAGTAAGCAAAATTAATAGAAGCTGAAAGTTTAATTAAAGCACTGTGTTTAACCATGCTTGACTATTTTCTTTTCGTAGTTGATTTACGCTACAACATACATTTAAGAATCTAGTAAACATTTTGACTTGAAATTCAATTACCTTGCCCACTGTCATAGTCATTTCCTGGTGATGTCCACTTTAATTTTACTCGTTTATTTGTGTTGTCTACCTGCATTACTCTGAAATCCACAATTCTGTTTGGTGGGTATATATCTTTTGTTTTATCACTGGTCACATAAAAACTTCCATAATTCACCTGTCGCATGAATATTCCTGTTGGTGTAGCTTCATCTTCTGGAACAAAACTTCCACAACAGTATCTGAGACGATCTTAGAAAAAGTAAAATAAATGTCAAACACATACAATACAAATTACAACAAACATTATACAAAACCAAATACTGTAAAATGTAAAAGTAAAATAAATGTCAAACACATACAATACAAATGACAACAAACATTATACAAAACCAAATACTGTAAAATGTAAAAGTAAAATAAATGTCAAACACATACAATACAAATTACAACAAACATTATACAAAACCAAATACTGTAAAATGTAAAAGTAAAATAAATGTCAAACACATTCAATACAAATTACAACAAACATTATACAAAAACAAATACTGTAAAATGTAAAAGTAAAATTATACATCATGTTTCTTAAAAAAAATAATACACTGAATAAGTCTATATTTACTGGTTAAGTACTTTCACCATTTACAAGTATGTTCTTAAAATGTACACAACAATTGTTTCATGAATTAATATTTGAAAAGAATCCATGAAAAGATAAAGATAATATTTGAGACATGGTGCCACCTTTTCATTTCCCACATTTTTCCAGATTCCCTGACAAAATATGGAGTTAAATATAAAGGGCTAAAAGTTCTGACTAAATTCTTTAGTTTCTCAGTCTTATTGTTACACTTATTCCTTTGTCCTTAAGATATTTAATTAATTCCTGATAAAACCTAATAAGCTTTTATCTTCTGAATTAACGTACTAATATTAGCCAAAAAAATAAACTTACTACATTCTCAAGGATATGTAAAAACAATATTTCATGTACTTTAGAAGGAACATTGATGTAAATACCATTTTACTATTCATATTTCTACCATTTCCGATAGGTGCTTAGTTGTTAAACAGCAGAGTATTAAGAATAGAAGATAGGTATGTTAAGAGTGTTAACTGAGGTCACTTGTGAAATTTTAAATCAGTACTACTATACAAACTTTTGACCTTTAGTTTTTGTTGTGATATTACGAGTGTCCTGCACTAATGATGTACTTATCTGTTTTTGTGATATATATTCCACATGACTGAAAAAAACATTTCTTCAATTATGTTTGAAAATTATTAATAACCAAGATTACATATCAACTACAGATGCCACTGTTTGAACCTTGTGTATTTAAAAATTATAACATAGATTTTGACCAACCTTTCTCAAAACAGAAAGGATATATAGAACATAAGATTTTCATAAAGGTTTATCAGTTCTGTACATTAAAAGGGATATACAGAGAAAAAGCAAAATATGTCTAAAAAGAGGTTTGTACAGCACCCATTGATTTTCATATTTTGAAAGTGTGAAGGTAAAATAAGTTCAACTGTTTTAAAAGCAGGAAACTTAGTACATACTTGGATTTTTTGGCATCACTCCACTACTTCCACCATACAAAACTTTAGCTGTTCCATTATTAGAGTTGGCAGAAATGGTTAAAGTATAGTGTCCTGCCGTTGAAATGGTTGTGAGATAACGGGAGTAAATACCATCTCCTTTAGTTATATCAGGATCTACAGATGTATAACATCTCTGTATTACATCAGTTATCACAAACACTTAGAATGCATAAAAGATAAATGATGAGGTAAACAAACTAAATGCTTCAACAGTTTTTCCATTAGTAATGTACTCATTCAAAAATAATTCATGGTTTAACACTTTCACAACAGTCTCGGTATAAAACACGGAGTCTGTATACACATTTGCACTCATTAAGTATTTATACTATAACGTTTAATACAGTATGTGTATCTTCAAAAAATCTGGTAGACTTCTGAGAAACATTAGATTACTTATCAGATTTTTTAATGAAATATTTTTACTAAAGATTTGTTTGTGAGTATATCAAGTCTGTTTCATTACTAGTCCAACTGCAAAGTAATTTTCATGTTATGATAAAAAATTCTATTCTTCATACCAAAAAAATTCAAATTTCATTTATATAATCTATAAAACCTCTTAAATACATTTCAAACATTTGTTTTCAGTAAAAATTTATACTTTATCTGTTATTTTCTCTATCCTAACTCTATATAAGGTTGGTAAATTTCATCAACCCCATAACCACCAAAAAAAAAATTCAAAATAAATCTAAATTACCCTTTTCTTCTTTCTAGAATGACTTCAAATTGTAACATGAAATTAAGTTTGTTTATCCTAAATAGCTTTAAACTCGTAACATTATACAACTATTTATACTTAAATTTTATTGTTTTATTGTTCTTTGTACTACTTGTTCCATTATAAGTTGTAAATCATTTGGAAAATGTCGGGCTCATGTTATGCTATCAACTTACATTATTCACAAGCTACTCAGAGCTGCTTCCATGCGTGCCTAGTGAAATTTTTTTATTATATTATTATTTATTTCACCTAATCTAATCTTAACTAACCTACAGAGATTCCTATTTTTACATTTTAGTTAATTTTATTATAATAATTAAAGAATACACATGAAAAACAAGAAACAAAGTACTTACCTGGACCTTCTTTATTTTTCTGTTGATGACACTTAACCCTACTTTTTTTATGCTAATGGTAGTAGTGCAGGCACCAAATAATTTTTATTTAATTAAATAATGCACCAAAGAACATATAATAATAATATCATGCAAAAAGCAGGCAATGTCCCAAAACTATAGCAATTATTCTGGCTTTCTAGCTATGTGACAAGAGCTGTTACAAATTCATCCAAGCTAACTGATAAATTTCCCATGTGAACAAAGCTTGTACTAAAAAAGAAAGTGAAAATTCTGTTCAGAAAACAACGCAATATAATATGTCATTTGATAGATGAAAACCTTGGCTTTCTATATTACCCCTACACTCCAGTTTGACCCACATCCATGGAAGTTATGACACGGAATCATTGCCAAGCTATCATAGGCCCTATGGAATGTTCATTGTGGTATATACTTTAAGCTTAAGGTGAGAATTAATGAAAATTTATGACCATTCAAAACCCTGTTTAAAAAGACAGTTACGAATTAACTCAGTCACTGCAGAATATCTGCACATACTTTTTCTTGAATATACCTAAACAAAATTATATTATTTTCTTGGGTGAACTGCTATAACTGTAGGATTTGTTACCAGTTAAAACCATTTAAGATTTTTGCCAAATAGTAACAGTTTGTTTCATATGGATTACAGTGCATGTTGCCTTTCTTTTAAATGATTTGTTTATCCTAAGTATAAATCTTCCCACACTCTCTCCAAGCCTAAAGACCATCGTTAACATTCCTCAATACACAAGTGTTCAAAATTTCTTTTATTTACAAGGATAAACTTTAACTATTAATCTACACCTGTATATTTTGTTAGGTTTGAATCTTACAGAAACTGATTTCACACTTACCACCTGTACCATTGTCAAGCAGTTCAAAGGAATCCTTCTGCCCATTTGGGTGGTAAATGGTAGCAATAACTTTTGCTCCTACTACTGGATTGTTGCCATGTTGAATATGGGCAAAAATAATGGGAGGTGGAACTTGTGCAGGGTCAAACTGAAAAATAAAATATGAAGATAAGTTAATCTTGTAGGAATATTATCTTTGGAAAGTACTAACTACCAGTCTGAAAGCATATACATGAAGTTCAGAGATGGCCAAGATCCAGCAGCATATTTAAATAGCTTAAATTATGACAAATAAAAATTAATCTAGTTTAACACATGTAAGATATTAAAAATTATTTAGTTTAACACGTGTAAATTAAAACGAATCTACCTGATGAACACCATTATTCAATGAAGCTTTAAGAGTGAGAGGTTTTTCTCCACTTTTCTGTCTAGCAGTTACATAGACCACTATTGGATGTTTCTCTTCTTCAGAAATTGTTCCTTCCAAATACCACAGTCCTTCCTACACACACACACACAAACAAAGATTAATCTGTGATAGATCAATACACATGAAATGTGCTAAACAACACTAAAATAACTTGTAACTATTCAAGTTTAATTCAAAACAAAAATAATAAATAACTGATTAGTGTCACATAAAATAATTGTTTAGTCAAAATTATGTTCAAAATAATCACCTAAACAAAATAAGTGTTTCCTATTATTCTAACTATCCAGTATCCAAGTGACTGAAGTATTGTCATTATGATTTATTATTATTATTTTTGATTAAATCAATTCAGCTTAATGCCATGACTTAAGGAAATAATTAACTAATCAAAATAATGGTTTCTTCTTATTATTATTTTTCATTATTCTTAATTATCCAAGTAATCAAAATATTGCCATTAATGATTTTCCATATTATGTTTTACCTAATTCAAGTCTGTTCAGTTTTGGGCTAGTATAGTCCAGTGATTAGGAGGATTACCTTGTGATTTGAGAGACTTACTTCCCATTGTCACCAAACATGATTGCTATTTCAGCCATGGGGAAGTTATATTTGTTTTTAAAGTTATGGTAAAGCTACTGAGACTATCTGCTACTATTCATAATTTTTGAACTGCTTACTGGGTGGAAGGAACTGGCTAGCAGACCCACAGTCATCTCTTGGAGTAATATTTTAGCAGTGAATAGACAGATTGTCCATGACATTATAATGCCCTTATGGCATATTTTGTGGTACTAGGTATTTAATCTATGATCCTTATTCATGTGGCAACCATCTTCACTACCATGCTATGCCTGGAGGCATTATTATGTGATGATCAAGTCTATTCATTGATATAGAAAGTAGCCCAAGAATTATTAGTACATGAGTGCTGCCAACCAATTGCCTTCTCACTGGCAGTGGTTCAAATCAGAATTGGCAGCATATAGCCTTAGTCATTTTGAAATAATTCAAAGTTGTTCTGCTTCAGATACATACCAGCTGAACTTGCATATGACACGATAGCTAGTACTACTTCCCTTGGTGTGACATTATGCACGTGTTCAGTTTATAGATAGCTTACAAATAATAAGGAATGACCATTGATTAAATAACTGGACAGAGCAATATTTGTTGTTTGTGTTTATCTTGTTTGGACTAAACAATAGTGTGGATTTAATTTAATATACTGCTTACTTTTTATGTGCTACAAACATAGCCAGTGTTATATTACTTAGGGCATGCACACAATGAAGTGGAGGGCTTGAGCCCTTCTCTTAGCCATGAACTTCCAAAATTTTTGAAAATCATTATATGTATATATATATTAAGAAATGTTATATTTGGATAGCTGAATATTTGTATCTAACCTGAACAACTTGAAAATAATAATAAACTCACTTTTTTGTTATTTGCTCAGTAACCATTATCATATACATAGAAGATATTTAGAACTTTATTTTAATATCTTATGTGCAACTACTCTTTGTTTGGTTCCCAAATCCAACCTACTCATTAAATGAGTATTGTTGACTTAAGTAATGACTTCTTGTTTTGCCTACTGCCACATCTATACTTAGAGCTCAGTTTGATTTATCTTTAGTACAGTTATCATTTTCTTATAATGAAAATAATTTCTGATAGATAATTTCCTCTTCTTACACAACAGCTTTTCTCAATCTTCCACTGCCTTCTAATGGATTGAAAACACATTTTTCTCACTTGATGCACTAGCCTTTATACCCCATAAGTTCAAGCTGTTCATTTAGCATGGCACACTCTCCTAGAACACTTGATGCACTAGCCTTTATACCCCATAAGATCAAGCTGTTCATTTAGCATGGCACACTCTCCTAGAACACTTGATGCACTAGCCTTTATACCCCACAAGTTCAAGCTGTTCATTTAGCATGGTACACTCTCCTAGAACACTTGATGCACTAGCCTTTATACCCCATAAGATCAAGCTGTTCATTTAGCATGGCACACTCTCCTAGAACACTTGATGCACTAGCCTTTATACCCCATAAGATCAAGCTGTTCATTTAGCATGGCACACTCTCCTAGAACAGCTGGGGAGGAAGGGTGGGAAGTGTGTGAGAAGAGGTAAGTATCTATTGGAAATCTGTTTTCAGTGTAAGAAAATTATAATTTCCAATACTTCTTCTCACACAACAGCTAGAATCCTACATTGAGTAGGTGGAGGTATAAAATAAGAGACTCCCTGTGGAAAGCATCCATATAAAATTGAATAGATGTGCACTGTAATTGAATGGAAGCACAAATTTGGGGGACCGCACAACTTCTGGAACAGGTATGCTCTTCACCCTCAGAGAAGTCAAGTGTCATGAAATGGGAAGCATCGAGGCCTAGACTAGTAAAATAAGGGCCTTGGAAAACAATGTAACAGGTATATGTAAGCAACGTGAAACATTGCTAGGTATCTTCTCAGCCCCAACCATACAGTGGGGGGGGGGGACCGTCACATATGATCAAATCAGTGTGTGTATATGTATGTGTATATATACACACACACATAGGAAAACACATATGTATAGTGTAAGGCAGCCAGGACAATCAGACCATGAATAAGACATACACCAACCTCTCCCACAAGTAAACAGAGTGCTATACTTCAAGCAACTGAAATCATGATAAGAAAATAAGCAAAATGGCAACCTCTGGACAAACTTCCAAATCAACCATAGGAGACAGGGAGTACAACAAACTGAACCTGAACTTACAAGTTGTGCCTAAGCCTCAACTCATCTGTAACAACAGGGAGTCATCCTGTACATGGAATTATGAGTAGGAAAAGTTAACATTTTCTAAACTGAAAATGTATTTCTAATAATACTTACCTCTGCTGACAATATAGCTATTCATCGACATTAGCTTTGCCTATCTAAGCATTGGTCTCACATGCTCCAGTCTTCTATACCCCACTTAAATGCCCTTGGCAATATCTAATTTACAAATTTCTCCACCCTCATCAATGTGCCCTTTCTCCTAGTACTGTATATAAGCACCTCACTCAGATAATGTTATCACTTTTTTTCTAGACTTACACCAGCTCTTAGTGAGGAGGCAAGGCAGGAGAGTGTCAGCGGAGGTAATTATTATTGGAAATACATTTTCAGTTAAGGAAAATGTTAACATCCAAAACATACTTACCATCCACTGACAATATAGCTAGAATCCCATACTGAGAAGGCGAGGAGCCAGTGCAGGCATGATCCATACAGCAAGCATCTGCATAGAATAGTGTTGTACCAATATAAAATTGTTACACAAGTGGGAGGACCATACTACATCCAGAATAGGTATGCCCTTCACCTGGAACCTAGTTCCTGTATCAAGGGTTCCAGGAATATTACTTGAATAATCATTATGATAGGCCAGTCTCAACCAGATAGTCAAGGTTCCTCAACTTGGAGATGGAATTAAGAGGTCTTGGTCCCTATATCCCACATCAGTGGCTAGGGCTATTGGACCGTAATCTCGTAGGTATATATACTTTTGAGTGAATCCCAATCTGTAGCCCTAAAATGATGCACTTCACACCACCAGAATCATGAAGAGAAAGTAATCAACACTAAACTTGACAAACTAGGGTTCCCAGTGTTGCCCTCCTCTCAATGTATTGTAGTGATATGTAATATTGTGATCTTTGGTCTACACTCATGAGGAATATTATATTGTCCACCACCCCAGTGGCTAGGAAATGGTAAGTGGCAAGAGCTCCCAAACTCCACTCAAAGAAGTGAAGGGTAAAACGCAGTGGGGAGTCCAGAGGAGTATCATGCCAAACAAAGTGCAATGGGTTACTGCAAAACCCTATTTTGAAAAGCAGACCATGCCTGATATATTTAATCAAAGGAGATACAGGGATGGGCAACAATCCCCTTCTGCTTCACTCACAAATGTGCAGGTAACAAAAGGTATGTGGAGTAGTCCACATTCCATCCTGGATGAGCTTCTTCAGAGGATAAAGAAAATGAGCCACTAGAAACATAGTGATATGTTGAATCTGATGAGACAAGAAATGATAAAGACGATGCTCTTCTGAGGAGAGAGAAGAGTAAGCCAACTTAATAATCTAACAAACTTAACCTGTAAGGGTGATGGGGGAGAGGTCACGTGACACAGAATGGTTCCAGGGAAGAAATAAATGAGAAAGGTAATCATGAAAGGAAGCCGTATGAGCCATGTAGCACCTCAGAGCCCACATAGGACAAAGGAGGTGATCTGGATCCAACATGGAAGAAACATGGGAAATGGGTACGAAGGTAGATTTGCCCTCACAGGTAACAGAGATTTCAGGAGAGGTAAACAATGTCAAGCCAGCCAAAACTGATCCCCCAAGAGAACTTGACACAAATACTGTGGGGAGGAGACATATAGGTGGGAAGGCATAAAAGTGAAGGCCCCACCATATCTGACTGAAGATAACTACACCAAAAGCTTAAAGATGAGGAACTAGAGACCAGCAAAATGGTAGGATGTTGTTCAGATGGGTGGCAAATACAAGTATGTGTGGGGTGCTCAGACAAGAGCATAATCACCAGAGAAATTGAGGATCTATGATCCACTCCATAGGAATGACTTTGTGCAGATGCAATAATTGAACCACAAATTCAAAGCACTGGGAATATGATAAGCTAAGAGCAGTTTCCTGTGTTAGTAGACCCAGAATTGGAGTACTAGGGACCTGGAATCAGTACTATTTTGTTGGGAGATGTACATATGTTTGTTTTCAGAATGCATAACCACTCTTCCATGCAGAATATGGAAAAAAAGAGACAGAGCTCGGGAAACAGCCAAGAGATCCAAAATGTTGATATGAAGCCCAGATTCGGACAACAAACAAGTCTTGAAAATCTCCTAAGTATAGAACTGTGCAATCTTACCCACAAGAGAAGCATCAATGAAAAGACAGAAGTTCTGATGAGGAGGTGGAAGAGGAATACCAGCCATAGTATGATTATTGTCCAACCACCAAGCAAGGTCGGTCTGAAAGAAGAACAACCAGTTGATCCAAGAAATCCGAGCTGAAGAACCATTGATTGTGGAATTCCCATGGAAGGGAATGCATATAAGCATGACAATGAGGGGCATGAGAGCTTCCAAAGAAACCCAAAAAAGATATAACTCTAGAGATGGCCGAGAATGAGAGGATAGTGCCTTGATGACCAAATGCTCCAAATTTTAAAGATGTAGTGGAGAATGCTGGGCCCAACTGAAGGTGAAAATTGAATAAAATGCCCAAGTCAATTAGATACTAAAACAGGGAAAGGATAAACTCTTCCATGTTGAAAAATCAACCAACACTAGCTTCCTCCAAAAGCAAACTGGTGTGGTTGGAAGATGCCAAACAGGAAGGAACCAGAAGAAGCTAGTCATCCATATAATGATGAGACTGAAGTCTCAATGAAAGTAGATGTCGAGCTAATGTCTTGACTATCCTACAATACATGCACAGATCCAAAGCAAGCCCAAATGGAAGAGCCTGGAGCTAGACCCCCCCCATGGACATCCCAAAGAAAACAATATGGGGATAAATGAGGAGTTCCAGAAACTGATGGAGATGGGAGTGGTCGATGACTGTTTTACCAGGGTACAACGAAATACCAAGAGTACAAACTCAACCAAACTGAAAACACCTGCTTGATAGCTTCCTGAAAAAGTAGGTCTCTCATTGCCTCAGACAGATGACTGCTTGAGATGGAATCCCTTGGAGGAGGGATCAGGATGGGAGACAAGGAAGGAGAAGGTGGCAACTGTAATTGAAGAAAAATATCCTCTGAAAAACCTGCAGAACCCACAAAACAGAAGAGAAGGTTTCCCAAATGTTGACAAAATGGTGGAGCCTGGTCCCCAAAGGATCTGATCCCACTGTGTAATAACCAATACTGCTAATAACATTGATGACAGGAATGGGAAAAAACGAGATGTGGGTAAAGTACAAGGGAAGTATGCAACCTGGCCACATCAACACGGGACTATAAAGAAATAGGATGGCTTTCAAAAACGAAGCCAGTCATAAGTTCCTGAAGGAAAATGAACACCCACAAGCAGCACATCTTACCCTAACAAGTCCCAACAACAAAGTAGTCAGGGAAGTAGCCATTGAAGAGACTCTCACCATGAAAAGCTAAAGCATGTTGTTCAGAAACTCGAGGAGGTTGAGGCATACTAACTGCAAGCTTAACTAAGATAAAAATCATTGTGCAAGAACTACAATGCCAGGTGAAGAGGTATCACATGCTAAAAACAAAGAAAGGAAAACAGGAGAAACATTCAACAAAATGTTACTAACCTGTAAAGTTAAATCACTGCATGTGCATTTGTAGTCAAGCACAGAGTCACATAACCAGCCATACATGCTACACCTACCCAGTTGGTAGTGTAGTAATCCAAAGACTTACCGCTGAGTCATGGAGGGGGGAGGGGGGGGGGAGAAGATTTGTAATTGAAGGGTCAAACCTTCTCTATAGATGTATGACAAGGCAGCATGGTAAAGTCAGAAGCAGGAAAAAAACAGCTGAAATCATCCTCATCACAAACATTCTCATTAGCCTGAAGGTGCACCAACCATTGTGGAGAAGAAGGCCCAGGCCCCCCATGAAAGAAGCTAACACCTGACAAACCAAGGTAACTATGTGTGAGAAATAGATAATTAAAGTTTATAACACACCAGAATGCAGGATAGTATTAAAGCAAACTCATTCAAAAAAATAATATCAGGTTATTTTCAAAATTATGTTGAGTCAGTTTTTCTTCCTTTAGTATTCAAAAAATGTCAAGTGAAAGCTATTTTATGCTGATGTCCACACAAACAACAAGTTAATATTGGAATATCGAAAACTGAAAGCAAATGAGAAACATGTCCAACTCGTATTGTGACAATCAAGAAAGTGATGTACATGTAAAGTAATACAGAGGGAGCCAGCTGCTCTAGGAGGGTGTGTCATGCTCCTAATCATGGAGGGTTGTTGCATATTCCAATTTTTCTTTCTTCCCATTTTCTTTCTACATTTTTTTTTTACAGCACAAACATGGGAAAAACATGTTGAAAGTTAAATACTGAAGAAATGTAATGTGCAAACTATTGTTATATAGACCTTTATAATAATTCATCAAGTACATTGAAAATTTCCAAATTCTTGGCAAGGTTTTTTCACTGTTTTGGTCAAAAACTTTTAGTAGCACTAAAGAACCCTATCTTTACAAGTGCTTGGATTTTATTTTGAATAAAACAAATGAGTATAGAAATAAAGATATATATATACCATGCTTAAATCTATTTTAGAATGTTTGCAATCTTGAACAATTCTTACACATGAAAATTGAGATGTTCAATAATTTTTTTTATAAACACTGATGTTAATGAAACGAAACCTCAAGATGTAACTATGGTAATTAAATAGATAGAAAAACATTATGAAAATTAACTTTAGCAGTGTATAATTTTTAAAAAAAGTAAATAAATAGCTATTAAGAACATCAAATGATCATAATCATGACAGTTAAAAGTCTGAAAACTCCCATAATGCTCTTTAAATCACAATCCCATCCATTTATACTGAGGTGTATGAGCATAAATAAATCACTGGAAGTACATATCAATAAGTACAAGTGTCAAAAATTTTTCTCCTCTGTAAGATATTGTATTAATGATTTATGTTCTAGCACAATGAACTAAAAAAGCTCAAACACTACATAGTAAAAGCATTTGACAGAGGAATAAAGTACATTTAAATATATGATGTGTAACTGGGGTTTGGCTTGATATATCTACTGTGCTTCTTGTTAAATATTATGCTTGCATACTGCTTATTAAAGTGTGCACTTAAACTAAATAAATTGATGTATGATGCATAGTAAAGTATTAATTAGTAGAAATTTAATTTCTTTTTCTAGTCTTGATAAAACACCATATATTAATATTAGCAGGATAACTATAAAATTTAAATACATTGGCTTGAAAAGAACGCTAAGCACCATGCTAATTTGTCGAACTTGATACAATAAAATTTGGATAAACTAAGCTATATACAATTAATTATGCAAGAAATGAAAAAACACATTAACTACAGCTTTAAAAAGAGACAAGTACAAAACCTTTACAAAAATCTATATAAATCAGATAAAAAACTCAAGTGTTTGAAAGAAGATTATATGATTTATGAGTTTATTACATTCTGTCAACTACGAACAATGAAAGAACCAAAGCTAAGAAATAGCTAAGCAAGTACACAATTTATACTCTAAATTCTCCAGTGGTAATTTATCTTTCATTATATTGCAATTCCAACAACATCTGTTAAAACTGAATGATAAAATTCATTATGCACTATTCTGAAATGTATGATTTGCAGTTGTGAAGGGGGATCATAAAATCAATCTTTTTTGATACACTGATATCTTTTGTTTGTTTAAAGCCAAGTTTTTTCTGGAAAAAAACAAGAAAAAACATTTATCTTGCCTCTGCTTCTGGTATGTGGAAGAGGTAAAAGTCATCAAATGGTGTTTCAAACTCCGAACTTTGAAAACTGAAATTTCTGTTAGTTGGAGATGTCAATATAATACTGTCTTTGACAATTGATGGATAGCCTTGCTTGTTGAAGGAAATCTGTATTTTCAGGTCTTGTCCTAGTGTTCTGTCTACAGGGATATTTATCGATATTGCATGTGAAGAACCATTTACAATGTTCTTGAGGATCTAAAAAAAGATACAAATAACATTATAGAGTGAAAACCTTCATAAACAGAACAATCACTAAGAAGATGCATAAAAAGGTAAGAAGCTTTATATCTAATTTGTCTAGCCATTGACATTATTTGATCCAATATACTTGTATAATCAGGTGGTATAAAGCAGTACTACCAATATTGGTATAGGTTATCAAAAAAAAGTATATATATATTATATTTGACTATTACACAAGTTAAGTAACATTTTAATAATTTCTTTTGATATATGAATATAGTATGACTTACTGTTACTGGGAGGTCTAAAGACTCCCAGGAATGACCCTGTAGAACATGTTGAAATGCTTCATATAAATTGATTTGATTGACCAGTGATAATGTATCGTCAATCATCTCTTCTCTGACATAAACCAGTCTACCCATTGTGCTGTGTGCCAAATTTAGAAAAGAAGAGGAGACATTCTCGGACTTGTGATACAACATTATGAAAAGTCGTACACTGGCTGCAGTTAGGGTTTCTTTCAATATTTGAGTTCCATTTTCAGTTAAATCACTAGTTGTCACCAACATTATGATACTCCCAGCTGTGGATTGGTTGTTTGCAGAAAGTAGCTTGAAAACATTTAAGATTTATTACTTTTCCAACTTCTCATGTGGTTAATCATTCATTCAAATATAAACAATGTACTACAACAGTCCAAACAAACAGTAGCATAAATAGGATTTTATTTTATTAAAATATGTATTTCTCATTCAAAATAAGAAGTAAATAACTCTTAATATAAAAACAAGATATTTTTGTAAGACCTCTCTCTCTCTCCTTCAATCTAAAGGAAAAATATTTATCAAACAAACTTATGTATGTAACATTTATTCAATGTTAAGTAATGATCATGGAAAGCATGATCATTAAAGGTTAGTTTTAATATTTGACTTATATTTATAAAAATAGAGTACAGGCAAGGTTGAACCCAAAAATAACTTGCTCCACATTAAAAAACAGAAACCAAATGGGCAGATAAATAATCGTTTAAAGTAATTTTATTTTACAACTATATTAATCTGTTGACAGATGCATGCTCAAGAATGTTTTTATACAATAGTGTCTTGGTAACTTATGCAGTTCAAGAGCTATATTAAAAATGACTTTTAACTTGATGCTAGATTTATTTACATAAACTTTGAGAAAAGTTTTAATCTATGTACATTAAACTTTGTGTAAAGATTTTAATTATATGTAAAAAACTGTTATAAAAAAAACATACATTACTGGAAATAATTATGGAAATGCACAGGTGATGAACATAAGCAGTCGCAAGCAGTAAGTAATTACAACTAAATGGTCAATTAATAACAAGTCAACCAGTCAGTTCTAATGTTCAGTGTTCCAAAGTTGATAATTAAGGTTTGAAATTCCTTACTAACTTGTTCAGTCTCTTAACTTTCCCTAATTGTCCACTCTAGGATACTTTGTCACATTTTCCATCCACAGTTTTCTCTGCCATTACCTTGCCCTATATTTATTCTGTATTTCTGTCAATGATGTTTAATGTCCATTCCTCTGGATCTATGCAATATCAGTCAAACAAAGGTCATTGTTTGTTTCTCTATAGTGGTGTTTAGTAGTTATTCATCCTATTTAATACTTCCACATTACTTATGTTGTGGGTCCAGCCTATTTTTAGCATAATCCTACAACACCAGACTTCATATGTATTTGTATTCCTTGATTTGTTATAGTTTTTGTAGACTATGGCGAACTTCCATTTCATACCTGTGCCTTTCCCTATATCCATTACTTTAGTCTCTTTATTGCAAGTACACTATGTTATTATAGAAAATAAAACAATGCACTTGTACTTTGCATTTGCTTTAAAGAAAGCAGTAAATCTTATTTTATGCTAGCACAATCTTATAAAAGTGCAGTTGTCAAATAGTGTTTCAAATTTCCTGTATTACTTCCCACAACTTAGCCAAGTTTCTGTTTGACCTTCTCATTTGTCATGCAAGCTCTCACATCTTCGATTATATTTATATTGGGATTTTGTATCTTTACACCACATTTTCTGACACATGATCCTTTCCTAACAGGTCTTGTACCCAAGGGAATGACACAATGGATAAAAATGTAACTGTGTTGTCAGCAGTGAAGGTGTCATTGATTTTATATAGATCTCTAAAATCAATGTGCTTGTTGCCCAGCAGATGTAGTTATGTATTGACTGTGATGATGTTTTTCTCTCTGCCATCAATTAGACTATCACTTATTCTGACCAAACAATTTGAATAAATATTCATCTGTAAGGAGTACCCTACTACACTTTTGCTTATCCCATCAGTTGGAGTCTAATACAAATTTCAGCTTTTTAGTTTCATCTCTCCTATGTAGTGGGTTTTGGTCAACTACACATCCAATTAGAGAATGCCATGCTAATATGTATCTAACTATTCATTGGAAAGATCTCTTCTGGATTGTCATCTATTAATCATGTGAAAAGCATACTTTATGTCACATGTTTGAAAAGACTGGGAGCTCTATTTTGATCATTTTTATTATCTAAAGTACTAGTTTCATATATTCTCTTCAGAGTTTCTAGAAATTTCCTACTGAAACATGAAATTTCACCTCAATCTGTTGCACAGTATAGTATTCACCAGCAAAGATTGTAACTTATACGCATGTGCAATTTGGCATTACTGTCCTGAAAAACGTAACTGCATTATCAAATTATTGCTGGAAATAATACAGCTGCCTGTACTTTTATAGGCATTAAGCTGGTATGGTACTGTTTGAATGAATGGAGGACAGCCAATCATTCTTAAACTATCAACACTTAACTATATGCCAGTGTAGTCCTTTTTCATACTGCACAGAAAGAAAATTTTCATAGTACTTGTATTTTTATAACAATTTTATTTGCTGTTTCCACAATTACTTCCAACACTATTTTTCATCCCCCGATGGGACAGCAGTAGGATTACAGATTTACAACACTAAAATCTGAGGTTCAATTACCCGCAGCAGACACAGCAGATATCCCACTGTGGCTTTGCTCAAAAAACAAACACTATCTTTCCTAAAACTCTATTATCAAATGTAAAACAATTTTTATATTACCTCAAAATATTGTATATCTGCTAAATTCACAACATAATAAATTGAGTCCATTATAATTCACTGGCTTACTATGAAAAACTGTTAAAAAGAAATACTAGATGTACAGGTAGAGCCATACTTTCTTATTCAAAATTATTATAAAATGTCAAGAAAAAGTTCACGCTTATTTTATCTATATTAGTCATACTGTCATAAACAAAATCACTTAGACACCACATGGTTTCTGAGCAACATGAACACCCATTTAAAATGCATAATTATATTTTCTATGTTGAAATCTAGATAACAGTATATTTCCTGTATATGTAAATAAGTAACAGTATAATTCAAATATTATAATTACAAAGTTATTGCAATACTCATGGTCCAATATCTATTATTGTCATATATAATTATTGGTTAGCATTTAATAATAACAATTATAAAAAAAAGTAAATAAGTACTAATTAGTTTATATCCTTTGTTTCGGCTGCAAATCTGCTATTTTCATCAGAGAAGTTCTGTGAATTACTGAATGTAATTAGCAGGAGCCTAGATTTGAACCTTGTCAACTAGTTGAATGGCTTCAAGAAGGGTATCTACATTTTTCAGATGTTTTTGACTGGTTGAATGCACATGTTTTCAATTATGTTGATGCAAAAGGCTTCTTATACCTTTCTCACAGGTGATTTGTATCACATTATTTCAGTGTTATTCCATTTTATTTTATGATCTGCTCTGGCATGATATTGGAGATAAGTCAGTTTTACAGAGTCTTGTATGTCAATTATGCTACCGTATCCTGACTTTTATTGATCTTTTTGTTTATCCAGTGTAGTTGGAATCTGTATTAAGCAGGGATACTGTAAATGGTGTTTTGCATTCTACTGATTTTGAGGTGGTTTATTGTGTGTAATAATTTTGACTGAATTGTGACTTCTGAATACTGTTCTGACTTTTTACTGTTTGCATATTTTTTGTATGTTTTCAGAGAGACCACTAATACAGTGAAATATGGCTATATATCCACAATTTTCTTTCTTATTCTTAGTGTTTATCTTACTTATTTTCTTCTTTATGTCAGTATGTATTTTTCCTTCTCCTTATCATCTTCTGATTAAAAATCTTTTAATTCTGAAGGCTAATCATTCTCCAATGCCTGTCTTTACACAGTTAGTGGTTTTATCTGTAGTTGAGCTTCTTTCCAATATGTGGATATTCCATAAGTTCCTGTAGTATATGTGTTATGTTTCTTGGTCACTATCAGGTCTAGGAAAAATGTTCCCTCTAAGTTGTGCACACATGCAGCCACACAGCAATCTGGCAGGTACTGCACATCGATAGCAACAGGTCATTCATAAATTAGTCAGTTGGTAATAAGGCAGGAGGACAGTGCCAACACTTGCTCAAAAATGTGCTTTTAAAGAGGACTGGGCTATGGAATCTGAAACTGTTTATGAACAGAAAATTTGTGCTCATTGGTGTTTGTAGTCCACCCAGTAGAAAGAAAATTAGAGGACACATTGTTTAGGAAAGGGAGTTTATCTTTTTTTTTCTATTTCTCTTGTGAATTGTATTCCTGCATGTTGCCTGTCTGGATGTTTCTTGAATTCTGGAATTTTATCAGTAATTTGTGTGACCTTATTGCAAATCCCTTGTCAACATATCTCAGCGATATCCTGGGTCTTAGGGTGGATGTTTTCAGGGAATTATCTTCAAAATACATTGTATAGATGTTACTGAATACCAGTAATAAGTAGTGAATGCATGGCCAGGTCCTCTTGTTGCTGGTAGTACTTATCTTAATATATGTGGAAAGTAAGCAAGTTCTATTAAATGTAGAGATTGTCAGCTGTGTACATTTCTAGTTTCATCATTTGTAGAACTGCTGGTATAACATCCATAGTGTTTCCATGGTTTGCACATTAGTGATTAGTGATTGTTTTTTCTAATCTCTTATAAAGTAGATTCTTAACTCTTTAAACTCGTAATTTTTTGCATGTTCTGCCCAAATTATTTTTGTGATTTTCTAATAATCATTATAATAATACCTTAACAGTTTCAACAGTTAATAGTGATTTTATACTCACATGATATCTAGCTAAGATAGGGGTGACATGGTGAGTTTATGCAGTTAACTATGGGATGGATAAAGAGAACAGTCTTACTTGTGAATTTTAGATAGATCACATATGTGTGTGAAGTGGGGCACTGTTATTAAAAGGAAAGAAGAAGAACAATAAGTATGCCAGAAATCTTCTAAAGACTCAAGTAACGGAAAACAAAAACACCATTTAAAATACATCTTGTGTATGTAGATTCTAATAAATTAGAAAAACAAAAAGATAAAAGTCAGAATCTATTAGCATAACAGATATAGAAAACTGATATTAATCTATTTGCAATAGTCCATAATGTAAGAGAAAAAAATCCCACAATAAAATTAAATAGTACTAAAATAATGAGATGTGAACCATACATAATAAAAATACAGATAGAAAAAGCTTATTTATCCACCTAACTGATAACACACTTAGTTAACCTAGCACAGAAGTCAGCAAAAGAAAAGCATTTAAATAATTGGTTGATTCATGTCTTAAAGGGAGAAATCCAGGATAAGTGCATAACCCACCAACCTTTCTCACAAGAAAATCCAGGATCAAATCTAAATTCCCGGGCAACACAAATCACCTTCTCAGGATTTAACATAATATTTAGGGACAACAAGGAGTCTATTGGTCCATCTAAGATGTCACATCCTCTAAACTAAACTTAAAATATTAAAAAAATGATAAATCAATCAAATAAAAAGATAAAAATAAACTCAAAGCCAGATTTTATTATTCATATGGTTATCAAGGTTTCTCATAAACTCACTTAAATTTACTGCCTCTATAACGTCTGTAGGCAACCTGTTCCAAAGGTCAACCACCCTGTTTGAAAAATAAAACTGTCTTAGCTGAAGATGACTCCTACACTGCCAAATTTTATATTTGTGTCTTATAGTCCTACCATTCTCACTATTAATTATGAAAAAAAAAGATATGTGAACATTGTCAATTCCTTAACAATCTTAAACACTTCAATCAGATCCCTTTTAACTCTTCTTTTTTCAAGAGAAAACAATTTCAGAGATCTTAACCCCTCCTTGTATGACAACCCCTCCATCTCAGGCACCATTCTAGTAACCTTTTCCAACAATTTGATGTCCTTCCTTAGGTAAGGGTACTAAGACTGAACACAATATTCCAAATGTGGCCTAACCAGTGACCTATACAATAAAATTATAACCTCTTTAGGCTTGTATTTGATATTTATGTAGATACAACCTAAAATCCTATTTGCCCTGCCACTAGTAACAACACACTGCTTCGATGGCTTAAGAGACTCATCAAACACTTCACCAAGATACTTTTCTTTCATAATACTTTTAAAGTCATTCCCAATCAAATTATACTTATAATTATATCCCACCTATTTGCTCAACTCATTAAATGGTCTAAATTCTTAATTATCTAAATTCTAAATTATGATTCTTTAAACTTCTAAATTTTTTCTTAACAAGTTCAAACTCAATGTGATCATCTTGTTCAATTTTCTTTCCATCTATCAACTGTTCAAGGTGGGGAATTATGCTTAAAATACAAGTTTATTAGCAGCTGAAACATAGGTTATAAAGCAATTACTAATTAATATCTAATTATAATAATAATAATATCATTAACAAATATGGTAAATTATTAATAATCATTATTAGGTGATTACATAGGCTACAATGAAGCTTATTGTACTACTTAGTTTAAATAAATAAATATATCCTTTAACTTGCTCACATGCAGTTACGTCTACTGTTTCACTACAATTTGTTTATTTTGTAATAAAATTTCAAATATGCACAATAATAAAATTAAAACAGTCTATTGTTACAGAGTAGTACATGCCACAAAAATACCTAAAACAGATATTGTACCAGAATTCTAAAAAGCAAAAATCACACTGATTGCAAGATCTCAAAATTATTATTTAGTTTAATGTAAAATGACTAGTTAAAAACAAAGTAACAAAGCTAGAAAATTTAAAGATTCTTCACCCTCTATAAAATTACATCTGTGGGTAATATATTTAGATAAAAAGTTAGTTAGGAATCTGCCTTATAGATTGTAAAAAACAATTATGTTTCCAGTTCAAACTATAAAGATCTAAGAAACAAATTTTGTTTGTATGCTTTATACATTATTAAAAAATTAGAAAAAGTGCATTTGTTTAAAAGATTGATTTTGGAATGGCTTTTTTACTGAATTTAAATGTCACAGTATAGCTATTGTCAAAATTTGAAACAGCGTGAAGACAAGTAGCCCTGAAATCAAGAATAGTCATTAACTCAAACAAATATTATAATCAAATTTCTTTGCAATAAACACATTTTTTTTAAAAAAAAGGAGTGATTAAGCAAAGTTATTGTATACCATACACTAGTAATTCATGATATTTGGAGAATTTTCATATAGTCACTCATTCCTTAGGTTTTGTGGAAAACATACTAATAAAATGATTTATCTTATATGATCTCTAAGTCATTCCAAGCTAATCTTACTCATTTCATTGATAAATATTAGCTACCTCTAGTGATTTCTGTACTCCACATTCAACACAAGCGTTAGTGTTGTCAGAAGGCCTATCTGGAAACTTCTGGGTGAAGGTTTCTACAGCATTTGTATCAATTATCATCATTTCATTTATTACATTTGCTTTTTCTTTAAAGTATACCATTCCCACTTCAGAACCAAGAGGAAAATCTCTGAGAAGTCTTCTGAGTGCACTTATCAGCATGTTAAATCTCTCCTAAAATAAATAAAAAAATTCTTACACAAATACACACACATACACTACAAATTTTCTAAATGTATACTATTTCAGTTTGTTTTTACAGATCTATATGCATATAGATTTTGTATAATTTGTATTAATAACCATAGTTAATGACATTTCCAAAACATTTACAGTTTAATCATTTGCTTGAGGTAAGGACCTCACGTATACAAACTGTCAACCATTAATTATTACTTGGCATTTCTGGTTAATAGTGTTAATATGGTTTACATAATAAAAGTAACTGCACTAAAATAGTGTCTTACACATGTTTTAACACACACAGATCTAAGGTTGAAGAAGTAATAATGCATTTGGACTCTGGGAATGCTGCTGGAGCAGATCAGATACCAGTGATACTAAGATATTACAAAACTACCAACCCAATTCTTTGTCGTCATTATTCTTTAAAAGGATTGAACAAGTCAACAAACAATTAAATCTTTTTAATAATTAAAAATGTTTTTCCACTAATCAATTTGGGTTTAGAAAAAAAATAAAAAAACAGATACCAGTGATACTATGATATTAGAAAACTACCAACCCAATTCTTTGTTGTGATAATTTTTTAAAAGTATTGAACAAGTGAACAAAAAATTAAATCTTTTTAATAATTAAAAATATTTTCTGCTAATCAATTTGGGTTTAGAAAAAACCAATATTACATGTTCAATACCTACACAAGTAATATTAATATAAATGAAAAGTTAAAATAAGTGGTAATTTTCTTAGATATAAATCAGGACTTCAACTCAGTATCATGTGAATTGTTAAAAGGGAATCCAGAAAGGTCAAGAATGTAAAATATTACACTAGACAGAAAATTACTTGACAAATAGGAAACAAAACATAAAAGTAGGAAATTATGTTACCAATGAAATTAAGTATGGTGTACCATCCCATTTTATTTTTGGTAGTTATAAGTTACTTATGTAACTTACAAATAAATGTGAGAAACAAATTTTTGCAGACAAAGTTTTAATATATTCAGGTAAATTGGTGGAAATACTAACTTTTACAAAAGAGAATTTGGTAAAAATAAGAAATAGCTTTATAATTAATAACTTCATTTTAAATGTTTAGAAAACTAATATACTCATTTCAGATCTAGGGAAAATCAAATAATGTTTCTAATCAAATTCATTATCACTCTGTTTTTGCTGTAATGATTTAATTTGCAACTGTCAGGTTACTAAAAGATTAAATTGTTTTAGATACTTAGGAGTTTATATTGATAGGAAGGAAACCACACTTTATTAATATCAGGAAAAAATAATGTTAATTCTTAGCATTTCTTATACCACAAGAGAATTTGTTGATTTATCTGTTTTACAAATAATCTATAACATTTAAGTAAAATCATATTTAAATTACACACTTTTACCACAAGGTGGGTTACATGAATCAACTTTTAAAAATCATTAATATATTTGCAAAACCATGTTATTATAGTTTCATGTTAAAAGCAAAATAAAGTGTAAGAGTAGAAAATATTTATCTTGCATATTAGAAATTATACAACATTTATATTTAAAGAAATATTGGGAACTTCAAAATGCAAAATCATATTATACGTTATTATCAAGAAATTTATTTTTAATTATAAAAAACAGAAAATCAAAGAAAAATTAACTATAAATTTGACATTATATTTATTTAGTTAACAAGTATTTCAATTTATTGCCAATTGACTCAAAAGTAATACACAAAGAATATGATTTAAAAAAACAAGAATTTGGTTGCCATTCATTTTTTTTATCTTTAAACGTGATTTTTGAAATAAAATGATCAAGAAGCTTAGTTAAAGTACTTATTTAAAATTTCAGGTTTTTCTGTCTACAAAACTTGTGATGTTTACTAAAACCTTCAAAAATTTTGTGATGATATTCAAAACATGTAATCTCTTAAGGCCACATGATCAGTTGAATCAATCAAGCCTTTAGTGAGACAGTTAAGAGGATTTCTGTCATGATATTTAGGTGTATTTTTAAATCAACCTTATGAAATTGAAATGGCCCTGTCCTCTTTAAGCTCTGAACTAAGTGTCAGTACTTGACTGTAAACAGCCATTATGGCTTTTGTGATAGGCTTTGATTTTATTGTGTATTTTTAAATCAGTCTTATAAAATCAAAACTGCCATCTGCACATACATGCAGGGAGGAAATGTTTCATAATGAACTACACATATCTCACTGTAGCAAAGCTGTTGTAGAGAGCCATGATCAATGAACACTGGCTGTACATGGGTTTTTGAGAATGTTTATTTACAAACATAGAAAGCTCAAAGGCAAACACACAATTAGAGAATATAAGACACTCTAACATTTATGTGATCAAAAGGTTACTTTGATCACAGTATTGTAAAAGTATTGGTGCATATTATTTATGGTGATAAGGCAAATTCGACTTTTTGTTTGTGAAGATTAGAGTGTATAATGTATTTGGGAACATATTATATTTGGAAAATTATGGTAATAATATGCACCAATGTTAAGTCATTGACCTATATTTATATGAGCAAGACTCGTGTTTAATTACAGCTCGCTCTAATTAGATAGAAAGCACTGAAGAGGGTAAAAACTCTGGCTGTTGTAACATGCCATCTTAACATAGCCTAGTTCAGCAAACAGTTTGATTTACTGATTTCTCAGGATGCATGTGTGTGTTTCAACAGTTTCTTCCAGCTTCTATTGTAAAATACAAATGTATTAATAATTCTTACATGTTCTTTCTAAACTTCCATGTGACTACAGTTTTTCAAGCTATTAATAGAATTAGTAAAAACTTCTGTTATGCTTTTAAAAGTTTCTTTCGTATTGCCATGTTTTCTTACAAAACTTTGTTTTCTGACTTATGATCATTTTAATCTCTTCAAAAATGCCATCTAGTATCATCACATGCTTTCTTGTCAAATAGTAAATGTTGAAATGTTTTCCTAGAATTGGAGTGAATTTCTTTTCACTGAAGTAAATATTATCTATCACACATACCATGATAAGTATGTTTACTAATTTTATGTCATAAAATCTGAGGATTATTATTTTTAACAATGAATTAGTTTATTTAGTAATAGTGTACTAAAGCCAAATATCTTAGTTCCCTATAGAAATGCTATACTCTTTTCTCAATCTCACTGTCCATTTGGTCGTGCAGCATCCCTTACTACACTCATGAAAATTTTTTTAAACAGCATGAACAAGGGTAAGGTCTCATAAAGCTCGAAAATGTCACATTTAGTATTTTTCTGATTTAACATAATGTTTTTGGAAAACATTGGACCTACTGGTCCGTTTTGGCTGTCCCATTTTCTAAACTAAATTAAAACTATAATGAATAAATGTAATTAAAAACATAAAAACAACAACTACAAGTCAGTCCTTATCATTCATACACTTATCAAGCTTTCTCTTAAACTCACTTAAATTTACTGTCTCCACAATATCCAAAGCCAACCCTTTCCAGAGGCCAATCATCCTGTTAGAAAAATAAAACTTTCTTAACTGAAGATGACTTCTTCCCTGCCAAATTTTTTTATTTGTGTCTCCTAGTCCAACTATTTTCACTGTTAAGTATTAAATATCAATTCACTTTACAATCTTAAACACCTCAATCAGATCCCCTCTAACTTCTTTTTTTCAAGAGAAAATAATTTGAGTGATTTCAACCTCTCCTCATATGACAACCCCTCCATCTCAGGAATCATTCTAGTAATCCTCCTCTGAAACTTTTCCAACTGTTCAATGTCTTTCCTAAGGTAAAAAGCCCAAGACTGAACACAATATTCCAAATGTGGCCTAACCAGTGACCTACACAATGAAATTATAACCTCTTTAGACTTGTATTCAATGTCTATGCAGATACAATCTAAAATCCTATTTGCCCTACCACTAGCAACTAGCTTGGATGGCTTTAGAAACTGATCAACTATTATACCAAGATCCCTTTCCTTCATAACACTGTAAAGGTTATTCCCATCCAAATTGTACTTATAATTCAAAAGATGATAACCCACATGAATTTATTATAAATAAAAACCATTTGCCATTTATTTGCCCAAATCACTAAATCCTTCCGTAAATCAGCAGCATTTTCTTCCTAGCTAACAACAACTCAAGACCTTAATATCACCCGCAAATATTTAAGTATTTTATTCACTATTCCTTCATCTATGTCATTGATGGAAACCTAAAAGAGCAAAGGTCCTGAGACTGAGCCCTGAGGTACCCCACTTGTAACATTAATCTGGTTTGACTGAACTTCATTTGTAACAACCCTCTGCTTTCTTCCATCCAGCCACTTTTCTATCCAATTTGCTATCTTATCACCACACCTACAGAGAATTTTTTTACAAGCTTTTATGTGGTACCTTGTTAAATGCTTTCTGAAAATCCAGGTACACCAAATCTACACCCTTACTCTCATCAACATAAACAGTAAACTTTACAAAGAATGTCACAAGATTTGTAAAGCAAGATTTCTCCCTTAGTGAAATCATGTTGAATATCCAATAAAATTTTTAACTTTGTTAAATGGCTTTGCATAGCATCTTTTATCAGACTTTCCAAAACATTTCCTACAACTGATGCAAGACTAAGAAGCCTATAATTACATGGACAATTTTTATCATCTCTCTCTTGAAAAGAGGAGTGACATTAGCTAATTTCCAATCCTCAAGTACCTGCTCATTATTCATTGATTTACAAAGAGTAGTAGCAAGTGGCTGACATAGATAATCCTTAACCTACTTCAAAACACCCTTGGGGAAATATTATCTGGCCCAGGAGCCTCATCATTCTTTAAACCTCCCAATTTTTTCCTAACAAGCTCACAAATAATGCACTCATCTTGTTTGATCTTGTTTCCATCTATCATCTGTTCAAAATGTTGGAATACTGCTTACTCTTCATTCGTAAAAACTGAAGAAGAAGCAAAATATAATAATCCAACCATCTCATAATAATCAGATACGAGTATTTCTTTATCATCCCTCAAGGGTCCTACCACCATCCTAATATTTTGTTTACCCTTAATCTATATAAACAAATCCTTACTGTTAATTTTTATATTTTCATCCACCCTTTTCTCTTACATCCTTTTTGATGTCCTAATTTCCTTAATCTTCTAAATCCCCAGTCATACCAGTTGATATAAATTTCTTAAATTTATGTTTTTCTTTAATTGTATCTCTGATACTCTTGGTGAGCTAAATGTAAAATCAATGTCACTCAGAAATTCTTGCCATAAAAAATTTAGTCATTTTAATAGGCTTGTGAAAAATGTGTAAGCAGAAATCCAAGGAACAGTATTCACTTTATTCTCAGCTTATTACACGTTTTGTGTTAAATTGCATAATAAATATATTTTCATGTACAACAGTTTAGGATTAAAAAAGTGATTTAATCCTAAGCTGTTATACCTGAAGATGTCTACCATATTAAATGAAGGGCATTACGAAAATGTCTAGAAAATCAAAAACAAATTGAAAATATGTATATTAGTTATATGTGAGAGTTGATTGATTAGAGGAATTTTGTAATTAATTTATTAGCCCAAGAATCAAACAGTTCACAAATTCCACTGATCATCCAGTTCAAGATTTGTCCATAACTCTTGTAACATACCCAAAGTGTCAGATGCAATTTTGTAGTAATGAAACAAACCAAGTAAACTTAGATTCAGAGTCAAGCATGCTAACCACTAGTCCAAATCCTGCCCATAAGCATTTTTTTTTTCACAGTCCACTACACACACAAAAATACAATTACCTGGCAGATTTAGGAAACCAGGGGTGGTCAGAGATTTAGCTAATACTTTGTATATCATAGCATAAGCATAGCCTAAGTTAAAATAATGAAATCTGCAACAGACAGAAAGCGTGTTTGTAATAGTAACTTTAAATCAAGGGGTTCTTGCCAAATGATAAGCTTCAAGTTGTTCTTAGAAAGGCTTTAATGCTTGTTTTTTTAAAACTATATATATAATTAGTAATACTGCATTAATGAAGAAGATATGTGTCTGCATGCCTGGTTATATCTTTGAGACTTCTTTTGGGTGTATATTTGGTGAGAGAAATAGTTAATTTGTCTATTTCAATCAGCCTATATTCTTGGTTTAACAACAGAGTAGTAGTAGTTTGAAACAAAGTATAATGTTTCCCCTTACAAATTGTACAAGCAAACTTATAAACTCTTACATTTTAAGAACTTGCATTCAATGTCAAACACTTTTAAAAGAAATTACAAGTTTATCAGACAGACTTAGAAAACCATATTTTGATTGAGAAAGCATAGAGGTGTGAATTTCAAAATTCTATAAAACATTTTTTGACAAATTAAATATCTTCTTACAGGAGGATTCATACTGTGTGAACAATCAAAAGCAATAACAATGCGAAGATTTTCTTCCTGAACATAGTTGAACACTGTTGGTGGAAGGTAAGTTATTTCTGGTAGATTTCTGAAAAAAATTGTACCAATAGAGAATTAATTTTGGCACTTTTTTTCAATAACTTATGCACAGTTCCTCAACATGATCTTAATTCAAACAAATGCATCGTTGATTGTAATTATAAAAAAATTCATAACTTTAATTTGTTACACCTTAAGGTATTATGATTTTTTTCAGTGTTTCTGACCATAATAGCATATTCCTTGTATACAATTGCAACATAATTCTTTCCTTTCAGTTAGGATCTTAAAAGATACTGAAAAAGTGCTCTCAGTAACATTATGGAAATTGGGTATTAATCATTGTCATAATAGCTTCTGCAATCACCTAAGTCTAGTTATTAAATAATAAAATAAGTATCTACAGCTAGACATTAATTACCAGTTAATTTTTATGCTACATTTTGGGTGTTGATATGCCCTCATCTTCAAAAAATATCTGAAAAGGACTGTTTCTGTGTTGGTAATGGCTAGGATTTGATCCTAAATCATTTTAATAGAAAGTCTGGAGCTTCCCTATTAGAACTTGAATCACTTAACTATTTGATTGTTTTCAATAGGGATACCCAGATTTTGCTAATTTCTAATCTAGTTTGACTGAATCTTTCAATCATTATTAAATTTCTTAGTCTGATGTGCTCTTTTTTACAAACTTATACCTACACAGCTACAGTTCTCACAAATGAGAGCTAACTGACATATGTGTCTACAACTTTAGAAAGTTGCAAAATCAAAACCATATGTTTGTCTGGTTAGAAAATATTGACGAAAGTAATAATTTTCCTTTATGTATTACCGATAGGTAATTACCTCTTCTCACAAGACTAGCTATTCCCATTTGTTGCTGCCCTCTATATGCGAACGTTTTTAATACACACATGTAACAAGTCTTCCGCACACTCCCTATTGGAATAAAAGGATAGGTAATTCCCTCCGCTCACAAAATTAGCTAGAATCTCACTTGGATGAGGACAAAGGACTGGTGCAAGGGAAGAACAGATGTATCCCCAAAAGCATCCAAAGGATACATCAGTAGATGAGATAGTCAGATCCAAAGACCCAAAGAGAGGAACTGCACCACTTCTGATCCAGGTATACTCTTCACCCATTTGTATAATGTGTAAGAAATCAGGGTGGAAAATAAGAGGAGCACATCTGAGTGGGAGACAATGCAGTAGGAAAGTGATCCTAACTGGAGAAAGATATAGTAACTCAATCCCACAATAAGAAAAGTGAGTAAACGAGGATGCATCCTATGGTGTAGAGTGGCTAGGGTGTGGCGGACCATACCCTGCAAGTCAACAACATCCAAAACATTCTCACGGGGTACCGATATCCATGTGAGGGTAGGATGAGAATCATACTGTCTTTACCTCAAACCCAAGACCCGGAGAATTGAGAACCACTCTGATTCATGGGTATGACACTTGATTAGCTATGAGCTATTGATCTGGGAATTTGACATCCGGTATCCAAAGGAAGTCTATCGCATACAATCAATACCTGTGACTGTGAAACAAGTCAGAATAGAACAAGGAAGAGCCAATGATAGAACTGAAACAATTCCACGTATCCCTGCTGTGACCCATAACACAGATGGAGAAATCGAGGGAGGAAGATAGATAACCTAAAACCTGTGTGAAGACTTATGTTGATTGGTTCACTCTAAATCCAAAACTAGCTTGCGGGGTACCAACATCCATGCAAGGGTAGGATGAGGGATTCCAATTGAGGAGATGAACTGTATTTTGATATCTCACTCCAATGTATGGTTAATTGCAGACTGGAGGATGTTAAGTCATCTACATCCGCAGAACACCACCACCATACTCTGAATTTTTTGGTTATAACCATCTCATGTGTAACCCATTGAGCAAAGTGCTTTCTTGGTTGACCATCCCAGTGGCTGGGAACTGGTAAGGACTCCTGTACTCCACTAGAAGAAAGGGAGGGGCTGAGAATGCGTTGGAGAGTGTAGAGGAATGTTAATACCTGAGACAGTGCAATGGGTGATCACGAAACCCTATTTTAAAAAGCAAGTCATAGTGATTTATTCAATCATGGCATGGCAGGGATAGATAACTATCCCCTTGTGCTTTACCCATGAAGTCCATGGGTGGTACGATATGAGATAAGCCAATTTATGAAGCAAATACCACGAGGTTATTCACCTACAAGTGATCTTGGGAGATATCCCATCTCAAGGGTGAACATGCAAAGCAATGGAAAGAAAAGTGCTAGTCAACATGGTGTACAGTGCAGATTTAGTGTCAGCCACCATTTGCCACAGAGTGGGATCCATGTGGGCAATATAACAACGAAGGGCATGCACAGAACATAGAGGTTTATCTGGATCGGAATGGGGTAGAGATGAGAAATAGAGGGAAGGGAAATAGGTGAAAAGGAGGAGTTACACTCATGAGCCACTGAGGTTTGGGGAAGGAAGGAATGATCTGGATAAAGGAGAAGATAGGTATGGTGGTAAAGTGTGCATGTAACATTGATGCCGAATAAGTCAGACCACTGATGCCCATATGCCAAAAGGAGAAGGAAATATGCCTTAAGGGACACGTGAAACAAAGAACACAAGGAAATATGTTTGAATGGAGGTAAAGTAAGGGAATGGAGGACCACATTAATATCCTAATCCAGAAGAGCGGGTTGCAGAGTCGGTCGACGAATCTGGAAGGAATGGATTAACATGGTAAGTATAGGTGAGAGAAAAACCCTGCAGTAACAGGAAAGATAAAAGGTATGGGATAAAGCTGTCCTGGTCGAAAAGCTACGTGAAAATCTCAGAGACACCAGCAGCAGTAGGATGAGCAGCAGAATATTCCTGAGCCTGGGCCCATGTGCAAAAGACCTTCCATTTTTGCTGATACACTTGCTTGGAGGAAGGATGGATGGATTGAACCAAATGACAAGCTACACAACAGGAGAAACCATATCACCATGCCAAGAACTGGACAAAATTCAGACATGAAGATGGAGGATGTGAAGTATGTGATGCAGAACCAGGAACTGGGGTTGACAAAGGAGGTCAAGTAATAAGGGAAGTGGTACAGGAGGGAGTAATTGTAGTTGGAGTAAAGGAGAAAACCACGGTTGAGTCGGCTAGTAGGGAGTGATCAGAAGGATCTGGCACAGAGTGGCATGGATAAGGGAACTACCCATTGAAACAATAGAATAGGAGGATAAACATATAAGAAATTGTGTGACCAATCTTGGCTGAAGGCATTTAAAGCCCAAGCCTGAGGAATCGGGGACTAAAAAAGGAGTAACTGGTGATTGAGAGCAATGGCAAATGCATCAATGTGAGGAAAACCCCACAGATTGCAAAGAGGATGAAGGGACTACTCCATTGGGTAAATCTTATCAGGGTGGGAAAGATGATCTGCCATGAGGTGGAAAGCACCCAGGACGTGATATCCAATTAAATTAATGTGTTGCATATGGGCCCAATATAGGAGATCCAATGTATGAAACCAGAGGGATCTTGACCGGGTGTCTCCTCAGTGAATGCTATAAGCCACCACCATCAAACAGTTGGAATGGATCATTACCAGGCAATGTCTGACAATGGGATGAAAGTGATCCAAAGCCCTACGACCAGCAAGGAGCTTTGGGACACAGATATGTAAAGGCTGTTTGTCAACAGACCAATGACCCAAAGCCTCCTGGTGATCAATCCATGCACCCTAGCCCTGAAGGGATGCAACTGTAAAGAGATGTAAATGCAGACAAGGAGGAGGAAGTGGTACACCCACCGATGTGCGAGTCTTGTCCAACCACCAAAGGAGATCATTTATAAGGGAAGGAGGAATGATAATGGGAGCATCCAAGGGATTCCGAGCAAGGTTCCATTGATCGTGCAGAGTCCACTGAAGGGAGTGCATATATGCATGGTCAAGGAGGACTAGCAGTGTCATAGAAGACCATGTCCCCAAAAGTGATAGAACCGAGTGCAGAAAGTGAGGGAGCATATAGAGGGCAGCAACAAACAGGAATAGCTAATTTTGTGAGTGGAGGGAAGTACCATATCGGAAACTCTAAAATAAAAGTACAAAATGTGTTTCACACAAGTAAGGCTTATTAGGTTTTTCTTCTTTAAAATATACCATCAGTTGAAATTGCTTACACGTTTCTAAAATGATGGAAGTAACGACTGGCAAGATAAGTAGCCAAAAGTCACCAGAGTTAGTATTACAGTAGTATTCTACTGAAAAGATTACATTAATTGACATCAATTTCAGATCAATGGGATCAAAAGATACAAAATGGTGGATGTATTCATTTTGCTTATAATGAATGTTGCTCACAGATACAAAAGTTGCATATGTAAATAAAGGGATAATACTAGATGTAATTGCATAGGGTCCTCAAAAGTTTTCTATTTCAAGAGTAAATAAAACCAAAATTAAGAGTAACAAATATTTTTATTTCTTGGTTTTGAAGTTCATATATCATGCTATGTCGCAGCCTACAGATCACACAATTCTTCTCATAATTCATAGCATGCTTATGTTTTACTGATGTCACAACAATACAAATTGTGACATTTAGCATCCCTTATGTGATGTCATTTGTCAGACAATGCACTATTGTATAGTGATCTCTCCAGGCAGCCTTTGGCTCCCTTTCAAGTTCAAAAAAGTTATTTTAGCATGTTTGAGTGCTCCCAAAGAATTTCATGGAGATTCTTATTCTCTTGGGAATATTATATTCTTTTCCAGTATTATTTCTGGGAAAAAAAGGAAGCTGCAACTGAAAAACGTCAAAATAAAACTCCAGAAGTCCAAAGTTCTGTGTGTTAATACAGTACTTCATGACACAATAAAATATTAGAGAAACACAAGTTAAGGAAGCATTGAAATAAAGTAGAAGTCAGCATACACAAACTTACCAGCCAATGCAAAATGAATATATTAAGAGATAATTAAGTGACTTAATGTCCTCTACACAATTCAAAATATTATCTGTAGTAACTACAACTTCTATTATATATGGAATGGTATAAACTGATATATATCTTATATAAAACCCCTTATTTAAAAATAACCAAATGCAGTGCTTTACACACATATTATTTGAATATCTTTTTTTAAAGATAAACACTACAAGTTTCTTCAAAATTTAAAATGTTATATATGTTTTGTTGACTTAAATTATAGGTTACCTCAAGTAACAACTTTTCATTTTCTGCTTTAGCCCAGTATATTATCATTTAGTCTCACATACCTATTAACCAAGAGATATTCATTACAATCAGATTGTCCATTAACAATGTTCACCAACTGTTAATAAATACACTGCATCTCTCTCATGATCCAGCATAAAAAATAACAAAACTCCAGTGATGGTTAATTTTATTTGTTTGTTGGGTTTTTGCTAAATACTACAATAGGGCTATCTACACTAGCTGTCTCTAATTTATGTGATAGAGAGGGCAGCTAATCAGCATCACCTACAGCCAACTCGTGGCTACTTTTCTGAAACTGAATAGCATGATATTACAGTCACTCTTATAATGCATTCACAGTCTCAACATTAGGAACAATATTTTTGGAGAGGAGCAGTAAATGATTACGAGCCACTGAACTTCTGCTTCACAGTCCAGCATGTTAATCATTTGGACACACTCAACCCTGGTTGGATTGAATACTTCATTGTTCAGTGCTGCCCTCTATATGCAAACTTTTCATAATGCATGGCACAAGCCTTTTGACCCCCCCTGTTGGAAATGTCATGTTCCAACATGTCTCTCATGCAAATCATCATGTGTCATCTCTTAACTAATAGTAGCATGACATGCTCACGTGATGCATGTGACTCCCTCTACACTCCACTACCAAACCTTCATTTCAAAGTTTGACAGAAGGCACAAGCACCAAAAATGGGGAGGAAGGGTGGGAAGTGTGAGAAGAGGTAAGTACCTATCAGAAATACATTTACAGTATAGGAAAATTATAACTTCTCATACGGTACTTACCTCCTCTTACAAGATTAGCTAGAATCCAAAACCTCTCCGTGGGGCACTGACATTTACATGGGGGTAGGATGAGGATCATACCATCTTCACCTCAAACCCAAAAATCAGGGTTTTAAGAACCACACCAATATCTGGGTACACAATAAAGACAAGATGCCCATCAAATGGAATCAATTTTCTCAACCATGGCACAGGTCAGTACCATCCAAAGACAATAACATCTCTGGAAGAAGAACGGGGGATAGTCCAGGAGAGCACCGGAACCAGCCCACTAACTACACAGTGAAGAAATACACAGATGGAGCAATTGAGGGACGAAGAGATACAACTTGCCTCCATGGGAGGACTTGTGTTGATTGATTCACTCTAATCCAAAACCTTGATGCTGGGATCCAACATCCGAGCTAAGGTAGGATGAGGGCACCCAATCGAAAGGTAAACTACAAGTGTGGTGGCTCAACTCCAGTGTGAAAGTGGATCAGGAGGCCACATCATCCCTTAAGGGGATGGCTCAACTCTAGCGGATGTGCAAATGGAAGCAGGAGGCAACATCATCTTGCAAGGTGACAGCTCTACTCCCCTGATTTTGTAAATAGTAGCAGGAGGCCACATCAACCTAGAAGGTAATGGCTCAACTTCCGTGAGTGTAATAGGGATAAGGAGGCCATGTCAACTGGAAGGTGATGGCTCAACTCTATTATTTGTGTAAATGTGAGGAGGAGGCCAAATCATCCCAGAATGACGCAAGGAGAAAGAGGAGGAGGGGATAGAAACTGGACAGTGAATCAATTGAGGAAGAAAGTCCAGCAGTCAAGCTCCTACTGGCCCCAAACCCACGGGGTAGTCACAAATACTGTTAATGACAGATGTTTTGTCATTGAAAAACATCGATGAAAAGAAGTACCCTGACTAGTAGGAACGAGTAAGGGTTGGGAGGATGAAGTACATAGACAGGAATAGGAGGATATGAGGCTCTCTGACTGAGACAAGCAGGCGACAAAGGACATGAGGGTGGATTGTTGATGAGCTCGATAGTTTCTGGGACAGTACCAAAGACATGACATCCTCAAAATGGAGCAAGACATAAGTTCTGTAGATATGGAGAAGGTAAACTGAACTGGACTAATACAGCATCCCTACAAACAAGGTCCCAACAGCAATGAAACCACGGGTGTAACACCAGAGCCAATGAAGAAATTGAGAGACAAAGTGATCAACATGTACCCAAATATCTGGGAAGGGAGGAAAACCAAAATGGTTGAGAAGAGGTTTCCTGTAATAAAAAAGGTCGAGGGAATAATATACAGGGGAAAGGGATAAAACATCACAAACCTGAGACAAAAAAACCGTGAAGATCAAATTTGGCTTAGATGATTCCTCAGTAGCTAGTTGTCATTCTATAGAATTTCTGCCAATTTAAGAGGAACCTGGGCGATGTCAAGGGCCAAAATTTGACCCATGTAGCATTCAATCTCAATGTACGCAGAAAGATCTACCATCAAGTCGCCCGCACCTGAGGCCTTAGAAACATTAGTTGTTGGTGTGACTCCCGAAGTGGTAACGTGAATTTCGGAATTCATAATGCAAAAATAATTCACAAGTGATCAAGTTTTGCCGAAATAGCGACAAATTTAAGAGGGTTATAGTAGAAAAGAAATTAAAAGTTAAGTTCAAAAAGAAACCACTTTTGGAGGAAATAAATGTTCCCTCATCACACAGTAGCATCAGCACACACACAAAAAACGTCCGAACTCGAACTTTGCCAAACGAGAAGTGAAGGTTTGGCAGAGGAGTGTAGAGAGAGTCACATGCGTCACGTGAGCATGTCATGCTACTATTTGTTAAAAGATGATGCATGATGATTTGCATGAGAGACATGTTGGAACATGATATTTCCAACAGAGTGGTGTGTACAAGGCTTGTGGCATGCAATATGAAAAGTTCACATATAGAGGGCAGCACTGAACGAGAATAGCTAATCTCATGAGAGGAAGTAGGTAAAATCAGAACGTGAATTTAGCTGAAGTGTGAGTGATAAGCCTTAAGAGGTAATATCTTAAAGTGTGTTTCACATTGTAATAGAGATAAGAGGAATAATTTGTCTTATCAAAGGGTGTTCTAAAGTAACTGAGCCTGCTGTGTGAACTTTGACAAAAAGGAGACAATTATTTAAGGTTCAGGATACAACCATAGGAGTAACATAAGTGAACTATTTACTGATACTATTGTGATAAGAGTAGAGAAAAATAATTCGTCTTGTCAATTGGATTCTGAAGTCACTGATTCAGCCTGTGTGGGCTTTTGACAAGAAAAGAGAATTATTTAGAGCTTGAGATCAAACTGTGATATCCTATAGTGTAAAAAAAATTTGTACATACATACATTTGACTTGTTTTGAATATATTATTTTAAAACAGGTGGATTGTGTGTGTTGTCAGTTTATTGTTCAAATTTATTGTGAACAAGTCACAGACACCTGCTGTAGAAGAATCCCAGCCCATATATACATACTAAAACCCCGACACTTACCTTCCATTAGCAAAATCTTGGTTTTCATAAATTACGCTACTAGTGCTCTTTTCATGACACAGAGCATTGTGTTTTGTTGGAGCATCAACATTATGATTGTATGCAGTTGTTCCATCACAGAAATGAGTAACCTAGTTTTAATACAAAAGAGTGCATTGAAGAGTTTGGTCAACTGAAATGTGTTACAATTATAAAATAAAGATACATCAAATTATTCTGTCAAAAATTCACAACTTTGAATTTTCTATTTATTCATGTTGTGTTAAAAAAATCAATTCTTTTGATAATGCTTTTTCAAATATTATATTGTAGCTAAATCAGTAGTACAGTATAATATTTTAAATACTTTTGTTTTTACAATATAATTACTTTAAAAACAAAATTTATTGTGACTTACAAAAAGCAAACTTAGGAATAAAATCAATGATTATGTGTTTAATATATAAACAGTAAATGAAAACTAACCTTTGGTAGAAAATGCTGAGACATAAGAGAAGACTTAACATCATTATTTTCAATTCCTTGTTGTCTACTAACAAAGAAACAATTGTCTTCTTGTGCCTTTCCAGTGTAGATATCAATGGCTGGCTTACAAAAACTATCAGCTTTATTTCTAAAAAATAGATCAATAAGACCCAAAAGAGAATATTTCCTTAGCAAAGCTTTAAATAATTTTCTGTTTACTTATTTCTAATTTCATATGGCTTAGACCCAGATTTGTATTTTAATTTTTAAGTTTACTTAAATTTTATACAATGTACTCTAGGTTTGTTATTTTTGTTATAGCTGTTATAGTATGTTTGTCTACTTTGATTTACCCTTAAATAAAATAAAAACTATTCAAAACAATTCACTAAGTAAAACTTAACAGGATCTTCTGAAAACTGCATTAATTTTAGCTTTTTAACCAAAAAAAAAGTTAATAACATTACTTTCAAGACAAGTTTTCCCATTTACAACTATCAATTCCTGCCCTCATTTAAAAAGCCCCAATCGAATCAGACCTTTTAATTTAAAAACAATGAAAACAAGAAAATGAAATCAAAGAAAACAATGATGCAGACAAAATGAATATTTACATTAATCAAAAGTAATGTTCATGATTAGAATAAACCTGCATGCAATGAATGCAAAAAAATCCAATTAAATGATGGTGCATGTGTTTACAATGTGTATTTACACAAAATGTGGTATGTGTTCAGTAAGATGTATAAGGTTGATTTACACAAAATAAATATCCTTTGTATACATGATATGTCTGTGAATTGACGTCTGTCAGACTCAGACAAGTCAAAATGCAAGATTATATTCATGTGTAGAATAAAAATACATTTGTTTATTGTACAGTTTGCAAATTGCACTTGAGTAACCTCTAGGATCTCTGAAATGCATATGCGCAGTTCTTTTCATTATCCCTGTATATTGTATCTGGTATTTATTCTCTTTTACCACAAACTAATGCTAAATTAGCAATGTAGGGTAAAATGAATAGTTGATAACTAACATAATACCATGTTGAATGGCACTCTGTGAAGGGTCATGCTATCCACACTTTCACCCCCCCCCCACCAATTCACATAAGAGTTAATAGTACACAATAGCAGATGAAGGTTACAATGTTTTGGCAAACTGCATTGCTTTTACTTCCAAGTTATGTCATTCTGAAATTGCTGAAATAAAGAAACAATTAAAAACTTAAGGTACAGGTGTAATACGTATTACACATACACTTAAAATGAGCAAAGAGACAGAAAGTCAAACAGAAAGAGACAGAATATCAGCCAATGTATCCTGCATATTCAATCCTATATTTTATCAAAACAATAACTCCATTGCAATGACATACAATGCAGCAAATATAGCTGTAACAACTCTTGTAATAGGAGTTGGTCTATCTGACTTCACTAACTCTTCTGAGTAAGAATATTAACTTTGACAATTGCAACAGAATATTTATAATTCTTCTCAAAAGCAAGTAAATTGTCACTGTACTTAAAAATCGGGTAAAGTGTGGAAACATTTAGAATATTCTCCAAACAATATGAATTTCCCAGTTTATGATACTGAATACAGTCCTTCAAAGTTCACTGCAAGTAAAAACTTAGTTACACACATGGTACTGCATTATTTATCTAGATTGTGTTGAATTGTTTGTACTACATATAATTTGGTTTTTATTTCAACTTTAGCATTAATTGAAAATTTGACTATGAAATTAAGAGAGTCACAATTTATATTTGTAAATAGTAAGTGGTAACCAAAGGGTTATATCATATTTGTTTCTAGCTTTAAATTTGAGAGAGCATGGAAACAACCCGCTATCAGCTGCCTAATCACTGAAGATTTGCAAGTTACATACTCAAATATACACTACACTGTTAAATAAGTAAACTGTTTTCCAAGTTGAGATTTTCTACCAAAATAAGTGGTGAGAAATGTATTAATTTTTTTAAATTTGTTTAGTTCTCAGTAAGCTTTTAACCTTGTTAGGAATGAGAAAAAGTATATCAATGTATTCCACACAAGTTCTATGTTTTTAGTCACTCAAAATTTATTTATTGGATTTGTCCATCCTGCTAACTGATCCTCTGTAACAGAATAAAATTTGTAACATTGCTCAAAACTTGTGAACATGATCACAATATTTCAGAATACACAGAAAAACAACTGCTAAATAACTATACATTTTTACTCAGTAAGATCATGCCATCTTCTTGAGAATAAATGCAAAATTAGTTCTTCTTATTCATAAATTTCATACACTAATAATTGGGCCAGACATTTTTTTTTAATTTACTTAAATAACAGTTCAAATTAAAGGAAACATGACAAAGTTTTCATTTCTAACTATGGGAATATATAATTATGAAACACAGATAAAAAACCTTGTCATCCTAGATTTCATTATTTGGAATATGAATTTTCCACATAAGTGTCACATTTAATACACAGAATGGAATCGTTACTAGTGCTTTATTTTAAAATATCATCAACCTATACTATATAATTACTCATGCTTTAGATACAAAACAGTTTTTTGGTTGTGGTATTTTATATTTAAATGTACAAAGTCTATAAAATGTAAAGGCAATTCTGTACATAGAGTTCTGAATGAATCTGATGGCTGTGTAGGTTGTCTTGATGACTGCAAGGTTAAACTTATTACACAACACATGGTATTCATCAAACTCCTCTAGTACAAAACATACACTGAGCCAAATGGTCTGATCAAAATGACAAATTGATCAACTCATCTGGCGATACTTTCAAAACCTGGCTGGGTATTAGGAGCAAGTACTAAAAGTTAGTTATATTGCTCCTAGGTCGCTCCCTACTCAACAGGATGATGGTACTAGTACTACAAGTGTCTATAAACAAATGAAAAAATTCACACACAATGCCTTAATACATAAAACTGTTGTTTGAAATGGGGCTCTGAGGGTAAGAGGTCCATTACCCAAATATATTTCTCTTTGCAATACAGAGTACTATCTACACCCACACCACCCTTATGCAAATGGTGATTTTATTTGTACTTCCTTACTCTTAATTTCATTTTTGTATAGTTTAATGAACTACAAAAATCTTCTCACACATCTTACTGCTTTAATTATATAGGTATTATCACAAAACAGATTTTTAATTAAAATTATATCAAAAAATAAATGTACAATAATTATCTTACAAAGAACAAAATATAGTGGTAGTAACTAATTATGTGACTGTTTCAAACTGACTCATTTTACAGTTGTCATTCCAGAGAGCTTATGCTGGCGTGGTCATGTTTTTCTAATGTCTATCTCCTAGGAAGTAGATTATGTCCACTTGGAAGGGTGGTTCATGGGTGTTTACAAATTATTACAAGCTAGTATTAATCTTCTTGGAATATGAGTGATCAATCACTGATGTATATAATTTAGAATTATGGGATACCACATTGTGGCCTATGGTCTGCATTTTGAATTTGTCCAAAGCTATACAAGAGTTAACTGCACTAGTTGTTTCTAATTTTGAACTGATTAACTAAGGGAAGACAGCTAAGTAACAATATTCACTCCCAAATCTTGTGTTACTCTAATTGGATAGTGGGATTTGACCACCAATCTTATACAGCATCAATAGCTCCAAAATGTGAAGTATAAATTTGCAGCAACAGGATGAAACCATGGACTTAAAAGTACACAGTTTAGCACACTAACCACTAGGCTATGGTCTGCCTGACCTTGATCAACTTGAAAGTTGGATACAGATACAAACCTTCAGTTTTTTTTGTTTTATTTTCTGGAAAAAGGTGGTAATCCTGCAGTTTCTTCTAAACGAAAATTGTGTTCTTCCTCTGATTCAACAGCTAGGAAAGTTAATTAAAAACACAGAAGCTGGCTAGTGAATACAGTAAATTGCACATCTTTATTTTTAAAGTGTCGTGTACATGGCTTCAGAACATTCGATCCATATTTTGGACATAATATTTAAAGTACCTATTGGTTTCGGTTTTACCTGGGAATACCACAATTGATGAATGCTCTTCAGAGTGTGAAAGATAATAGAGTTAAAAACAATATATCTATATATACCACTTAGTGCCAACTTAAGGTCAAAACGTTATGTATTGAAAATGAAATTTACTGAGTGTTTGAGAGCAATTTTGTGGTATATTTTTATAGTTAAACAATTTCAGTTACTGTTAATTGCTAAATATATGTTTTGCTGCTGAGTTCAAGTTATTTTATATTTAGTTCTTATTTGTCATTTCAATTTAATATGACTTTCAACTATAACAGCTACATTTCAATTATTATTATTATACAGAGCAATAGACAATTAATGTAAACATATTTATTTCACTGTTGACAAAATGTTTCCTTTAAACCTACTTGTTATCATATTGGACTTTAATATTAGCACAGTCAGTTGCAAGTGCTTCTCCTCTTCCTGGGATTCCATAGTACATTGGATACAGAGGATCATTGGGAAAACCATATTCATCAAATACTCCATATCTATAATGTGCCCATTCATGAACAAATGTCTTCCCTGTCAAACACAAAAATAAAACCTTTTAACTAGTTAAAGAAAAGTTTTATTAATTATATATCGTAATGTACTGAATGCTGGAACTCTGATTCACAACAAAAAATAATGTAATTAAACTTACAAAAACTTAATATTGTGGCTAATTTTTTTTCTGTGTAAGTTCTTCTGCGAGACAGTACAATCAGACCCACCACTGGCGTAGGGATTCGTAAAGTGTAAATTTTCGTACAAAATGTTTAAATCTGACCTGTAACCTTCATGACTCAAAATTTTATGAAATTGTTTATACGTTGATTCTTAAAAGCAGAGCTAGAGTTCACTGTCGTTATTCGGTATAGATTCTATAACTAAAAGTATCTAAAATTACCGTAAGGAAGGCCAAGTAATCTACATTCTCAAAAGTATGAAATAATAAAACAATACAAAAAAAAGTGCACTTTTGTTGCAGTAAAAAATACATTTGACAAAAACATGATAACCAAATAATGAGAAGTTATGGTTTAATAGAAAATTAAAATAATATTCTAATTAAGCAATTAAAGTAACTTTTAATGTTGAAAAAACAAAACAAAACAAAATTAAAACAGAGATTTCAGACATTGGACTAAATCATTACAAAACTTATATAAAATAAGTGAAGATAATAGGTAGTAGTACTAGTCGTACATAATCTCTTACAACTAACATGAGCTTCCGCATATAATAACTATTAAAATTGCGACAATCTTAACTGTTTTCAATACAATTTTACGATAGCTTAATTTATACTACATCTTTCTCCGGGTTCCTGAAAGGGGTCGGAGCAAGTGCGGTTTACTCCGACCCTAGGTTGGACTAAACATCAACGTCCAAGACAACATTTCATGGTACGGAAGGGAGGAAGAGGTCTCAGAGTACCTGACCCTCCTAGGTCACAAGACCTAAATTCCGATCAGGAGATCAGGCGAACGAAGATCAGGCTGATGATGTTTGTTGAAATTTGTTTTATAATTTTGTTTGTCATTAATACATCATCAGCATAACAACTCATACGTTTATTTTAAAGCTGAAGGAAATGTACATTGATGTCCTGGTGGAGATTATCAATATTTATTTATTGGAATGATAAGTAATAACTTGCACAATAGTTACGTAATATCTACATACCCACATGGTGGGTTGGGCAAATAAATGGCGGACGACTTTTAATTATATTGTTACGACAGCGGAAGTCACGTGACTCTGTTAACACGTGATGAGTATCTAGAAGATTCACGAAGAGACGAGATGTACGCTTTTATAATATATAAGACCGGCAAGAAGTGAGTCAAGCGCGGTAGTAGGTAAAGTGCGTGAATCGTTCGTTCGTTGTGAATTATAGCATTTGTTTAAGTTAAAGTGACTGTGGAAATTAAGTGTATTGTAAAGTTGTATTGAGAAAGAATAAACTAGTTTTATTTAAGAAAGGACTTGTATTGCTGAAGTTTTTCGGAAAGAATTTCTACGGAATTTTGGTTTATCAATCTCTAAACCATCCAAGCATTGTACCGTTTCTAATAACAGGGCAAATAGGAATTTAGGTTATATTTAGAAATACTGAATATAAGTTTAATTAAAACGGTTTTAATTTCATTGGTTAGGTCACTTGTTAGGCCTCATTTGGAATATCATGCTCATTCTTGGGCTCCTTACGAGAACAGATTAAGATTTCTGAATTTTTTCGCTTTAAAAAAGAAGAGTTAGTGGGGTTAAGATTAATGATTTATGTTAGTTAAAGAATTGAAAGGGTTTGTTTGTTTGTAGTTAAGCACAAAGCTACACAATGGGCTATTTGTTCTCTGCCCATCACGAGTATCGAAACTCGGTTCCTAGCGTTGTAAGTCCGCAGACAAACCGCTGTGTCACTGGGGGGGGGGGGTTGAAAGGGTTGATGCATACCCTTTTTTCGCACATAATGATAAAAATGTTACAACTAGAGGGCAAACATATAAATTTTGCCAGAGTGTGAGTCATCTTCAGCCAAGATGGTTTTATTTTTCTAAAAAAAAATGTAGTAGTTGGTCTTTGGAATGAGTTTCCTACAGATGTGGTGGATTCATTAAATTTAAGAGAGTTTAAGGGAAGGTTTTATAAATATTCAAATGAGTTGGCTTTAAAGATTACTTTCAAATTTAAAGTTTTAGTGGAGTTTAGGTTAGTGGATAAGACAGTCTGAACCATCAAACCCCTTGTTGTCCTTAAATGTTATGTCATGATGGACAGTGATTGTAGTTTATTATTTTATCAAATTCAAAAGCTCGATCGTCTGGAAAGGGGGGACTTAAATTATGTTTCAAATGATTATCTTATCTACCTATTATGTAATTTCCAATTTCATAATATTAAAAACAAAGCCCTAAATGTGTACACTTTTCTTAATGAGGACACGAAATTAACTTTTTTTTCTGTGCTAGAAGAGGTTTTTATTGTTATAAAAACTTCACCCCCCAAAAAAGCGTATTTATTGACGTTTTCTATCTCTTCAAATGAGTCAGCATTCTCAACAAATGTCCAACATCTTCTGATTGAGGCTTTTTGTTCTCTTGTCTGAGGGTGGAGATTACTCCATACCAGGCAAATACCACTGTCTGGCCGTAACCTAGAACTTATTTGGCTTATAGCCTAGACAAAGATTTTTTAACCCATATTTCGCGACCAAAACTGAATTGTCAGAAGGTTTGAAATGATTGGAAATAGATAGCAGCTTATTTTTTCCTTAATAAGTATTATAGGTCAGATGTTTTTTTTTTGCACTAAAGCTATTTAATGGGCCACGGCTGGCCATCAATGTTTACAAATGGGCTCTGAGCCAAAAAAGGTTGAGAACCACTTGTATAGACATAGACAGCTCTAGATTTGGATCAAAGCGGTTGTGAACGTAAATATCAAATCGAGGACACATATGATGTTTTGGTTTTCTCAGACTGCCCTGATTTCATTCAGAGTAAAAACAGTAGGAACTATAATATAACGGAGTACCGCCAGATACTGTACTGCGAAGTTGACACATAAAATTTCTTTGCTTTAAACCAAGTCTTACACAACAGAAAGAGACTGGACACAATCACAACAGACGTAATCTGACACAATTGTAAATGTGCCCTTTAAATAAAGATAAAATTTGATAGAAACGATTACCGCTTACTTCTGGCTGTGACGTATTTGTATATTTACCGAAGAGTTTGGACGTTTTACCTCTCTTTAGAGTATGAGTCTACATCATAATCTCTAGATCTTGATATTTTTTCTCAATCTATCTGAATTTCATAGTTTTATTATTGTAGCTGAGAGAACCTGGCCTTATATACACAAACAAAATAAAGCTAAGACTACTCAGAGTAAGGATATCATCCATATGACTGAAGACCACTTTCGCTTTTAATGTAAGGTCATGTTATTCCCTTGGGATACCACCCAAATTTTAGTACAACATATGTGAAATTTCAACTGCCTTTTCTGCTAGAAAACTATCTGGTGATTTAGTAAAGTGATCCAGTTTCATATGTAACTAGAATGAATAACTCAGTTGTTCCCTTAAGTGAATTTCTATATTGGAATCTAAATATACTCTATATATACAGAAATTTTGAAAAATTCTACATATTAATAAAGGGCATAGAAAATACATGATAACTTTGCATATCACAGTGTTTAATGATAAAGATGGTAGGACTAAAGAATACTGATTTAGGATTTTTACATGGTAGAAATCGTCTGCAAGTTAAATATTTTATTTTTTGAGCAGGATAGTTGCCTACAGTCGGGAAAGACACCATGATTTGAAAAGCTCAAAAGAGAGCTGATGAGCTCTTGGATAGTCAGAGCTGGATATACGCAGATGGATTCTTGATGAAATAATAGGACAACCAAGATGGATCAAGGGGCACCTTGTTGTCCTTCAGATGCCATTTTATGGCTTATAGATTTGTTGCGATTTGTTTTAGAACTAAGCCTAAATCTAGTAGTCAGAATCACTGAACTCTATGAATTACCTAATCCTATAGAACCAGAGTCAGATAATAATTGTTTGGACCCTGGACAGGAAGAACACTGGACCCCACCCCCGCCCATTAAATCATAAACTTGTATTGAAATACATGAAGAAATAAGCTCCTGTAGCATTAACCAGACATTCAATAGGGAGTTTTGGTGACTTAGGGATAAACACAGAGCTGGATTGTTTTTTAGTTTCTTTAGACATACTTGTTTCACGTCTCTTTACCACTATAAAAAATAGCGCTCCATACTTTGGGGGCATAGGTGCGTTATAAGAGTGTTGGACAAATCCCACTATTCAATTAGCTAAAGCGGCCTACGAATTGGCATTGAGTGGTGCTGACCAGTTTGCCTTCCCTCTAGTCTATCACTTCAAAATTGTGTAGCCTCGAGTAGCCTTGCATTAAATTTAAATAAACAAGATTTGATCGAAATTTAACAACAACAACAACATCTTTAGATGTTCTTTTCGTTTTTATTTTTGTTTTCTTAGCACAAAAATACACAATTTGCTATATGTATTCTACCCACCGCAGAAAATCGAGTCCCGAATTTTAGGGTTGTAAATTCGTAAACGTTCTCTTTGTTCGTGAAAGCGCTTGCTTTTAAATTATTTCTGTTTGAAAGTTACAGACATTTTCTTGTATAAGAAGACATTAAGATGCTTAGTTAAATTCAAGAAAGTACAGTAGGCGACGTCAAAACATGTTCTAACAATATTCAATAGATAAGGATTTGATTTATTTTTAAGTTTATTGTATTCAAACAAGATACTTAAATTAAGTAGCTTAAAATTTATTGAAAAGAAGCTATTTTTGTTAGATATATGTTATCGGGACCAAGAGTATTGTTAGTAAAAATATTGTCATTTAGCCTGTCGAAGTCGTTTTGAAAGGCGAGGTCCAGGTTCATCTGCCCCCCAGTGGCCCAGAGGTATGTCTGCGGACTTACAACGCTAGAATCCGGGTTTCGATACGCGTGGTGGG